ATGTTGATTGAATTAATTGTAATACACCTGTGATATCAAAGCCCCTCAGAAAACACTCCAACCGAAAAATTCCCAGCTAAATAACATTTAAATGATATGCCGTGACAATCGCAATATTTTCATTGCTTAGCGCCGTCAGCTGAGAGCGATCGTCACCCATACCAAAAGCAAAAAAAAAAAAAAAAAAAAAACGGCAAACAAAACTAAGTGTTATACCAACCTACCAAATTTGCATTTGCAATGATAACGAGTCACTGTCGATAAACCAAAAAGGCGAAAAAAAAACGAAACAGTCAACCTTCAAGCAAATTCCATTGATACGCAAAAGATTCATAAATAGAATGTCAATCATTATTCGATACGACGAAATACCTATTTTACTTCTTGGAATCATTCATATACATAACAGCACATATAAATAACACACAATCGTATTTATTGGTATTCTTCTTCTTCTTTTATTTTTTTGTCTTTCTTTGCCTAGCAAACTAGTTCCATTATTCAGAGCTTAATATTATTGGTATGCAAGTCGTGAAAGTACTTTATGCAAGAAAACAACAAGAAGAGCTAACAATAACAGTTTTATTTAAATGCCTTAATATCACATGCAAAACAAAAAAAAACAACAACAAAAAACCGAAACACTGATCCAACAACAACAACAAAACAAGATCACAAACATGCCACCAGTGGTAATATTTGTTTGTTTGGGTTCCATTGACGGTCGGTATTCTATTTTGAAGTTAACGCGAACACCATAAACACAGATTTAAGATGCTAATCGAATTCGCTCACAACTCCGGGGCCACCATTCATAGTCGCATTGTAGACAAAACCTAATCAGGCTGCAAATTATGTTTGTTTGTATGTACACATATGTACTTATTGGTATCATACAAGGAATATAAAAACTATGATATCTACATATATCGAATTGTTGGTGATGATGATGATTCATGTATTGGTCTGCGAATTTTTGCCAACTTCTTGTTTGTTTTATTTGCATTGGCATTCCTACGAAATTCCTCTTAAATGAAGTTTTCAAAAAAAATCATTTGTGTCATTGGGGAAATTTGGAAGTTATTGAATTATGTATTAATTAAATAACAATAAAGGGTGAGATAAAAAAACTTCAACCATGTTAAACGTCATAATTTTTATTTTTTTTTTTTTTAAACTTTATTGAATGATAGCAAAAAATGTCGAAAATAGCATCAAATTTTAGAATAAGTTTAGATTTGTTCGAAATGGTCACCATTGGCACGAATTATGGTCTTCAAACGGCCAATGAAACCGTGACACGCTGCCCGAATGTTGGAAATGAAGTGAGGAACCTCATTATGTAACCATTCTTGGGGGAAGCGTGCCGAGTGCGATGGTGCTGAATCCTGCTGAAATGTCCAAAGTCTGCGGTCAAAATGTTTGCGTGCCCAAGGCTTTAATACACCCTTCAGAATATTTTCGCGATAGTATTCGGCATTTATTCTGCTGCCATGGTCGATTAATACGAGCGGAGAACTACCATCGACTGTTATGGCGGCCCACACCATGGCCGGCGCTGAAGTTCTGGTGGCCAACCGTAGGTGCACATTTTCAGCTGACCTCTTTGTCAAGTAAACGATCTTTTTGTTTGTTTACAAACTGCGGGACAACGAATGTTTTCTCATCGGAGAAAACCAAATTCGGCAGTTCACCACTTTCGGCCAAGCGAAGCATCTTTTTAGCTTTTTTGAGTCTATTTTCTTTCCGTTGCGGTGTAAGTTCTTGCACTTTTTGGAATTTAAATGGCTTTATCTCCTCAGCCATATGACTGTCATTGAAATAACGCTTTTAGACCCTAGTTCTCTTTGGATCAAATCCGTTCCAGGACATTTGGAGTCGATCAAGCGATGTCCGACCGTCTGTCTGGCTGGTGATCCCGATAACTCTTGAAGGGAGTATCCGATTTGATCTAAACTTGGTACATCGTAATATTATTGTCAAATTTAGATCGAGTTCGGGGATGGGTAATATCGGTCCACTCCTTATGGTACCTCACACACAAAATGCCAACATTTTCAAAGAAAATAATTTACTGCACAGAAAGAGAAAGGATAATCCGAATTTGCACCAACTTTCCACATACTATTATTTGCATCAGATCTAGATCAGGTGCGAAAATGGACAATCTCGGTCCACTCCACCAAGTATCTCCCACACAAAGGGTTAAAATTATGAATAATTATAACTATTATTAAATGTTTTTTAAGTATCCGATTGTCTTCAAATTTCATACATCACAACATTTTTACTAACCCAAGGTCTGGTGTGAAAATGGAATGTATTGGTCCACTTCCTCTAGTACCTCCACACAAAATGTCAAAATTTTCATAGAAAACAATTTAGTGCACAGAAAGTGAAAGGATAATCTGAGTTTGCTCCAACTTTGAGAATCTAATATTTTCATTAGTGCTAGGTTAGGTGCGATAATGGACAATATCGGTCCACTCTATCAGGTACCTCCCCCACGAAGGGTTAACATTTTGAATAATTACAACCCTCATAAAATGCGATGTAAGAGTCCGATTGTCTTCAAATTACACACATCACAATATTTTTTTTATTAACACAAGGTCTGGTGCGAAGATGGAATATGTCGGTCCACTCCTTCTGGCACCTCCCCACAAATTGTCAACATTTTGAAAAATATTCATGAAGCTCATAAAACACAATATTAACATCCGATTCCATTCAGACTTGGCACATATCAATACTTCATCAACACACGATCTGTTATAAAGATGGTAGAGATCAGACCATTCCTTTTGGTACCTCCCCCACAAATAGTCAAAGTTTTGAATAAGCAAAAACGATCATAAAATCGGAAACAGGCATCCGGTTCTCTTCAAATTGCACACATCACAATATTTTTATTAAACCAAGGTCTGGTATGAAATTAGAATATATCGGTCCACTCCATCTGGTACCTCACCCTCAAAGGGTCAACATTTTGAATATCGATGAAGCTCATAAAACGCGAAATTAACAACCGACTCTATTCTGACATGACACATCTTAATATTTCTATTAGCACAAGATCTGTTATAAAAATGGTAGAGATCGAACCATTCCTTTTGATACCTCCCCCACAAAGGGTCGAAGTTTTGAATAATCAAAAATCATAAATCGGAAATAAGCATCCGTTTCTCTTCAAATTAAACACATCATAATATTTTTTATTAAACCAAGGTCTAGTGCGAAATTAGGACATATTGGTCCACTCCATCTGGTACCTCACCTTCAAAGGGTCAAAATTTTGAGTATCCATGAAGCAAGAACTTACACCGCAACGAAAGAAAATAGATTCAAAAGAGCTAAAGAGTTGCTTCGAGTTGCTTGGCCGAAATTGGTGAACTGCCGAATTTGGGTTTCTTCGATGAGAAAACATTCGTTGTCCAGCAGTTTGTGAAGAAACAAAATGATCGTGTTTACTTGCCAAAGAGGTCAGCTGAAAATGTGCACCTTCGGTTAGCCACCAGAACTCAAGCGCCGGCCATGGTGACGGTGTGGGCCGCCATAACATCCGATGGTCGCTGTCCGTGGCATCAGAATAAATGCCAAATGTTATTCCGAAAATATTCTGGTTTTCGGCACGCAAACATTTTGGCCGCAGACCTTGGACATTCCAACAGGACTCAGCATGCGCCACCCAAGAATGGTTACAAAATGAGGTTCCCGCTTCATTTCCAACGCACAATGGCCACCAATATCTCCGGATACCAATTCGTTGGACTATTGTGTCTGGAGAAATTCGGAAAGCAAGGTTGGCACTAAAAATACCAAAGTGTCGATCACCATTCGCCGAGAATGGGCCAAAATAACGCAGAGCAACATTCGGGCAGCGTGTGACGGTTTAAAGGTCATAATTCGTGCCGAAGGTGACCAATTCGAACAAATCTAAACTTATTCTAAAATTTGATGCTATTTCCGACATTTTTTGCTTTCATTCAAAAAAATTAAAAAAATGTGAAAATTATGGCGTTTAAGTTGTTGCAGTTTTTTTTATCTCACCCTGTATTTAGGTCCGACACGAAATCTGTTGGCAAAACCGACTGATACTATTTTACTTATTTAATTTGTTATTTGACGTTCTGATAACCACTTTGGCAGGAAACCGGTACCGTCCAAGTTACTGAATTTTTAAATCAATTCAATCTCGATCCTCATGGGCATACATTGCCGAAATCAACACGTTTTTACTTGTTTCGATTACATATTATTTCTTGTTTCATAACTTATATGATCAAACTACAATACCATAATATAATACAAATTCAATTCCTTCACCACTTTGATATGGTATGAAGCTCATTTTTGATTCCATAAATTCGTATCTCTTAATGGTCATGTATTTATGACAAATTCTACAATACATGTCTCCTGATAATGTAAAATAAACTATCCTATATGGATTTAAAATATGCATCTTTATATTTTTCCTGAGTATTAATAGTTTGGGACATGTCCTCTGGAACCTGTTGCTGCACACCCATTGTGGATGACAATCGATAAATGCTTTAAAATCCTTCGCAGATTTATCTAAAGAAAAAATGTGGAAAAGATTTACAATATATAAATACAAATTGTTTATAAACTGTAAACTGTTCAAATGACATTTTTCAAATCCATTTTAAACCCACAATTCAGATCCAATTTAATCCAATCGGAAAAGCAATACTTTAAATTGCCCAAAAAAAAACAATTTTAAGAAGTTGGCCTGCTATCAAAAATGTTTTCCACTATCGAGAATGCCTGCACATGAATCATCAGTCTTTTTTCAGTGCATTGTCGCGTGTGAAAGTGTATTTGCAAAGAAGTTAATTTATTTTAGTTTTTTGATCATTGTTGTTGTCAATGGTTTTATGATAAGAAATAGCTGGTCAATCATATTTGAAATCTCTTCATTTTGATAACACATAAATAACACAAAATCTCTTCGTTTTTCTTTTCTTTTGTTGCAGGAAATAAAATTTCAGAGTTTTTAACAGAAACGGTTTGTTTTCTTGATAAGAGCCCAAGACAAAAGGGAATAACATGAGCCATGCCTTCGGCACGACCTGGTAGTCTTAAAGATCCGGAAATAGCAGAATTATTTTACAGACATGATCCCGAAAAGATATTTGAAGATTTGCGAGAAATCGGCCATGGCTCCTTCGGTGCAGTTTACTATGCACGATGTAACCTTAACAAAGAGATTGTGGCCATCAAGAAAATGTCCTATACGGGCAAACAAAGCTTGGAAAAGTGGCAGGATATTCTCAAAGAAATCAGGTAAGACTATGGCAGATGTCACAAGAACAACACAATAATGTATGCCTTCACTGTACTTTAGATTTCTGCGTCAATTGAGACATCCCAACACAATCGAATACAAAGGATGTTATCTGCGCGAATCAACGGCATGGCTTGTCATGGAGTACTGTGTCGGCTCGGCCTCAGATATCATTGAAGTTCACAAAAAGCCATTACATGAAGATGAAATTGCCGCCATATGTGATGGTGTACTCAGCGGGCTGAGCTATTTGCACAGCTTGGGACGCATACATCGTGACATAAAGGCCGGAAATATACTGCTCACAGATTGTGGCGTTGTAAAGCTGGCCGATTTTGGCAGTGCAGCCATCAAATGTCCAGCCAATAGTTTTGTGGGCACACCATATTGGATGGCGCCCGAAGTCATTTTGGCCATGGACGAAGGTCAATATGATGGTAAAGTGGATGTGTGGTCATTGGGTATAACCTGCATTGAATTGGCCGAACGGAAACCGCCATATTTTAATATGAATGCCATGTCTGCATTGTATCACATAGCCCAGAATGAATCACCTACGTTACCCGTAAGTTGTCCAAAAAAATATATATGCTATAGTTTTATTTCAAATTATCTACTATATTGTGTTGGTGTTGCAGAAGCAATGCATCAATTTGGCAGAGAATTTGTTTTGATTTTCTGAGGAAACTTTTCGTTGATATACGAAATTGGTTTGTGTGATATTACAAACATTAATAGGTGTTTTAAAGGACCATTTCATAATTTGTTCACTTTTTATATTCTTCACTATAGTATGGAGGGTATATTAAGTTTGTCATTCCGTTTGTAACACCTCGAAACATACATTCTTGATCAGCATAAAATTATATGTCGGTTTAGCGATGTCCGTCCGTCGCGGAAATCACTCTAGTTTACAAACGAAATGAACTAGGTTGAAAACATTTTATGTCTGCAGGACTTTTGGTATTGAAAATGGGTGAGGTAGGTCCACGTCTTCGTATAGCCCCCATATAATGGTACCTTCCTTTTTTCGGTATTTTGGTGATTTAAGCGACATTATTCACCGGAATTGTTTCAAATTTGGTATTTGAAGTTCGTAATGAATACTACAGCCTAAGACAGAAAATTGTCTGTGCAGGTCCACGCCTTCGTATAGCCCCCATATAACGGTACCCCCGATATTCGGTATTTGATGATTTTCACCGGAATTGTTTCAAATTTAGTGCTTGAAGTTCATAATGAATACTACAGCCTAAGACAGAAAGTTGTCTGTGCAGGTCTCCGACTTCATATATACCCCATATAACGATACCTCCTGATATTCGGTATTTTGATGATTTTAGCGACATTATTCACCGGATTTGTTTCAAGTTTCACCGGAATTGTTTCAAGACCCCTACTGACGAGGAAGAGAACATAGATGCTACGTTATCCATACCTCGACCAGTTTAGTAAATGGAGGAGGGAATAGTGGCATTTTCATCGATAAAATGGAGGTGTCAGATGCAGGGGATCAGAAAGCTTATCGCCTACAGAAGTCGCCTTAAGGCGACAAGCTTTATGTGGAGGAAAGTCTGATAATCAGTTAAATAACGAATCTTCGTTCAGAATTTCAAAAGGAACTATCCTAACACGGCGTTAAGGGAACCTCCGATAAACAGGATCCGCAGTGGCGAAACCTAACTACTGCGGGACGCTACTGTTCATCTGGGCAGGTGATATCGAAGAAGAGGATCTATGTTGTCTTCTAAGAAGGTGCTAGAACCGAAGGCAAAGGATAGCAATATATTTAGGTATACCGACCGCTGATCCCTGAAAAGAGCAAACCCTAGCCTTCCTCTACACCCTAAAAACTGACTTATCAGTTGCTTCATCAATCACCAACCATAAATCGCCTTCCAAGGAAGTTACGACGAATACAAGAACTTATTGTCTGCTGGCTTTCCAAGCTCGTCGAAGAAAGCAGTCTTGAAGATAACTGAACCCAACCCCGTCACAGCCCTTGGACAGTGGGAAAACGAAAGTAGAACGGGTTGGTATTGCTTTGCTGAAACCTTGCTACCCACAGCCGGAGCAGGATTATCCAACTGCTCCACGTAGTATCTAAAAGTTACAGTCTTCGAATAGGCTGACCCCAGTGGATTCATCAGAGAGGATCATGGGTTGCTGATCGATGGAAAGATCTAGTACATTTGGCTTTCGATAATTTTTTGAGTGGAGTTATGTGCGGGATTATCCAAATGCTCCGCAGGATTTTACAACTACTCTGCGGAGTATCTAAGAGTAGCAGTCATTGACCCCTGTGGATTCATCAGAGAGGATTATGGGCTGCTGATCGATGGAAAGGTACATTTAGCTTTCGACGATTTTGAGCAGAGTCACGTGCGAATTGGTCTAGCTGCAATTTACGGCGGAGCCAGGACATTACTGTCGACAATAAGAAATCTGGAACACAGAATGTTATTTGGGAGATGTAGCTACCAATGACAGGCTTAAATGTTCTGATAAGGACTTGAACTGGTGTCCTCCTGGGTGTAAGGCAGTATAGCTTCAAATTCTTAACACTTAACTAAGAAGGAAATAATTTGTAGGCCATAGGAAGTTTTTCTCCAGATTTCTTAGAATAAAAATCCGTGACCCAGTGAACAAAGTTACGTTGCTCCAAAAAAAAATTAATTAATTAATTAATTAAATTATAGAACTACCACCTAAAGGATTGGGCTCATAGGCATCGGACTCCGTCAATTCTGCAACATCAGTTTAGCTAATCTCAAATAGGACCAGCGTCGAAAGTTGTACCTTTAATTAGAAGATTTTGTTTTTACTTTTCGCTACTCATTTAAAACTTGCAACATGAAATTAGATTTTTTTTCTAAAAGGAGATCCAGATTCAGTTCTTAATTTACCGCAGGTTAAAACATTTTTTTAATTCAATCTCCCCCCATTTTTCTTTTCCTTTGCAGAAAAATGATTGGTCCGATACGTTTTGCAATTTTGTTGATCTGTGTCTCAAAAAGAATCCCGCAGAAAGACCATCATCGACCAAATTATTGGGCGATCCATATGTTACAAGACATCGTTCCGATACCGTACTACTGGAGTTGATAGCACGAACGAAAGCCGCAGTTCGAGAATTGGATAATCTCAATTATCGTAAAATGAAGAAAATTCTTATGGTTGATACCTGCGAGACTGAAAGTGCCGTCGGCGATACGGATGATACACAGGATGAGCATGCGGGTGGTGATAGCAGCAAGAGTAATAGTATTACGTCGGAGCACTCAATACATTCAGTGGGTGTATCGGCGGCCAGTAGTCAAGTAGTAAGAATTCCACATGCAATTCCGGTGGTTGTTATGTATGTTTTGACTGAGTTTCATATTTTCCTTTCGTTTTTTGTCTAGAGCTCTTCGTCGAATTCAATACCACCTGCAAATCAAAATCACATCGGCGGTGGCGGTCCATATTCACAACAGCCACAGCATTTGGGTGCCATGAATTATCATCATCCACATCATCAGCAGCAACAGCAAATGCATTCACAACAACAACAACAGCAGCAGGCAATAAGCGGAGCTGTTTCGCGCAATTCATCACGTCAACGCAACTTGCCGCCATTGCCTAGCATTATGCACAATATGAACAATAATGTGACACCTACTAATTCCACGGCTGTGGTACCAGCACCTGTGCCTCACCAACAACACCAGCAGCAGCAGCAGCAACCGCCACATTCACTAATGTCCACCATGTCAATGGGCAGCGGACCGGGTGGTATGCCACAGTCGCAACAGCAAACCTGTGGAAACATGTCGTCCGCCGGTGATCGTATGTCTCAAACGTCACAACAACAGCCACCGTTACAGCCACCACGTTATCTGGGCTTTCCCATACAAGCCAATGAGCATGGTCCTAACAATTTTGCCACTATACGCACCACAAGTATAGTTACTAAACAACAAAAAGAACATATGCAGGTAAGAATAGAGATTTTCCTTGCTTGACGTTACCAGAGACAAACTCAACAATTCATCGCACATCATAATCCATCCACCAATCAATCGTATTATTAATAATTAGGCAACCTGATGAATGTGAAAAAGAAGTGGAAAAAGATGGGTACCTCCTTCGAACAGAAGAAGCTCTCTGCAACACAATGTTGCTTTTCTAATAGAATTTGTTGTCGAACAATTGTAGTTTTGAAAATTAAACGAAAGGAAATTCGTTATTAGTTTCTGTGTGTGTAGTGTAATGGAATGAAAATGCAGCTCCTACCGCTTCCTATCTTTCCTTAAGTGATATTGCCAAATGCAGGAATTAAATCGTTTTAACCAAATACAATTCCTCCCCTCACATCTTCTAAGATACGTTTAGATATTTTTCGTAAAAATGTTCACAACTTTAAATTCCTTTGTTTTTCGGAAAAAGGTTTACTCGCTTTCCAACTTCTCTTGCTTTCAGATACGACATCCATATTCTGGCTGTCGCTGTCTTTTTCCAGAGGGTGTAAACTCGTTCCGAGACTTTTAGTTCCTAATGTTGAAATTATTTTTTGACAAGACAGTTCCCCACTAAGAACCTTATTTAAATGGAGTTTATATGACATGGATAATATCTTCATCAATGACTATCGGACGCTATCGTGACTTAGTGCGACTTTGCTTCTTCTTCCGGCTAACGTCTGCCACCTTATTTTAGATATGTTTACGTTTGTTTTCTTTAAAAGAATAATACTTTTAGAGAATAATACTTATGTGAACCGAGAAAGCTCAGATTTTATTGGAGTGTCGTCGATTCCAACTAAGGCCTAGGAAACAAAATCCGCGCATCGTTGAAGCGCGTTGTTATCCATGAGGTTTTTGAATGTTATTTTCTTTCATTTTTCTGCGGCTAAAAGTTTACAAAAAACTCCAAATGTCTTCAAGGCTGTGGTTAAACCAACGGAACCGCAGCATAGTAAAAAGGCTCAGGGAAAGAATAAGAAATCGAATTATACCAATCCCTTCAAATCAGCTGAATCAACAACGAAACCCACACAATCCCACGGCAGCGGTTTCTACGACACCGGATTGACCCGAAACAACAACACTCCAGTTTCGGCCAGCGACTTTCAACCCAGTGTATACATGTTCGTGTTTGTTTATTTTTCTGTATTGGGAGCTGCACATCCCAGAATGCTTGCTCCGGATTCTTTTGGTCCGTGCCGGGCTTGAGGAAAACCCGGACCATGGTTCTGTACGGTTTGCCAAAACACCATCCACCATAGATCAGAGTCGGTGCGATGTAATGCATGCGGAGGATGGGTGCATTTTAGGAACTGTTCCGGTTTAACCCGGTTCCGAGACTATATCGATAGAGACTATGTTGCATCGTGCTGTACCAACGTAGTCCCCAGTGAGTCCACGACCTCGTCGTCAACTTCCGAGTCGTCGTCGGAGTATGGGAATCCCCCGCAGTCTCCAAAACAGCAACCTTTACCGCAGCACTTAACGCCACATGTTGCTGTTCCAATTCCGGACAATGCATCGTTCTTGCAGTTCAATTGCAACGGACTCCGAGGTAAAATTTATGAGATAGTGGATTTTATGAATCGGAGGAATATTAAGATCGCAGCGGCGCAGGAAACCAAGCTCAATGAAAATTGTAGCTTACCACGGTGCAATGGTTACAACGTTTTGAGGAAACATCGCATCAGAAGTGGAGGTGGGGGATTAGCGTTCCTGATACACCATTCTGTTCAATACAGACCTATCTCGCTTGAGCTAGTCTCTAGTGACCCGTACATGGAGTGTATGGGGGTAGCAGTCAAGTGTGGTACTGCCGAGGTAGAGGTGATTAATGTGTATATCCCGCCGGTTAATAGCTGTGAACCGCGTTACTTGCCTAATATAAGCCTACTTTTGGAAGGCAATAACCCCCTGGTACTAGGGTACTTCAATGCCCACCATGAGTTGTGGCATTCCGTCCTAGGTAATGACCAGAGGGGATCAGCGTTGGCAGAGCAGATTGACTGCTCCACATTTTGCACGGTTTGCAGATCGCCCGATTCCATAACCTCTGAACGCCGCACTTTCCTTAACCATGGGAAAGCCCACTGGCCCGAGTTCATAGAGTTCACCAACCTTCGCTTCAGAGAACTGCCCAATCCTTCTGATGTTCGGGTAGCTGAAAGGATTTTCCGGGACATCATCAAAGCTGCAGTCGCTCGCTATATACCTGCTGGTCGAATACCCGAAGTAAGACCAAATTTCCCAGCAGAGGCAGCGGGATTAGCGAATGAGCGTGATGAGCTCCGACGTACCAACCCTACTGATCCCAGAGTCAGTGAACTGACAGTGGAAGTCAACCGGTTGGTACAGGAGCATAAGCGGAAAAAGTGGCTAGACCATCTGAAGTGTTGCAACATTGGAACCGATTTGAGTAAACTGTGGGTAACGGTAAAGTCACTCTCGAACCCTGGAAAAAAGGATGATAGGACAGCAGTCACATTTAACGACGTAACTGTGACTGATCCGAAGAGGTGCGCTGGCTGTTTTAACCGCCAATTTGTCGAGCACCCCGAGAGTGATAGGGCGAGGCGAAGAGTACTACGTCGTATAAGAGCTCTTCCCGCCGAGGATGTACATCTTACGATGGGTGATGTTGCGAATGTCATCCGAAACGCTAAGTCATCTAAAGCGTTAGGCTCAGACGGAAAAGCAATGCTAATGATGAAGCAACTGGATACGCCGAAAGTTGAGTATCTAACCACATAGTTCCCGGAGGCTGAAAAATGGACAGAGTGGTCCCACTACTGAAGCCAGGCAAGGATGCCAGCAAAGTCCAATCATACAGGCCAATTTCACTTTTGTCGCCATTTAGCAAAGACTCTTAAGGCTTTACTCCTCCCCAGTATCAGAGGAAGCTATTCAGTTGCTAGCCATCAACACGGTTTCCGTCCACCACATAGCACCACAACAGCATTGCGCGCCATATCCACACATATCAGTCGATGACTCGACCAGAACAGGCCGTGCCATAGAACAGTAGTGGTGGCTCTTGATCTATCAAAGGCCTTTTATATGGTCAACCATGCCACGCTGTTCGAGGACGTTGAGAATACTACTCTTCGGCCATGTTTGAAACATTGGATAGCCAACTATATGTGTGGACGCCAGTCGTACGTGGAATTCCGGGACAAGAAGTCCAAGGCCCTTGGAGTTCCCAAAGGTGGGGTGATATCTCCGGAACTGTTTAACCTCTATCTTTCCGGAATTCTTCGCCCTCCAGACGGCATCGAGATCGTAACTTATGCAGATGACTGTTCGATCATGGCGTCGGGCCCTGTAGTTGATGACATATGTGTCAGGGTGAACAGATATCTCGCGGAGCTTGCCGCCTTCTTCCATGCGAGGAATATGAAAATATCCACACACTATTTACCACATGGACTGCGGAGATGAGAACACAGCTGAATGTGCAGGCCGAGGGGCACATAATTCCGACCACTAACTACCCCAAAATTCTTGGGGTCACATTCGATAGCAATGTCTCCCGCGCAAGCCACAGCTATCTGCAATAAAATATAAATAAATTTTTGTTACTTTTAAAAATGCACGTTTTTTTTAGCGACGGACTGATGTGGACATAATGTGCATATATTGAATTTTTCATTTTCTTCGTTTGTAATGTATATATACTCCGTGATGCATTTTTTGAGATAAACCAAAATAGCGATTCAAAATGTAGGCATATGAGAGGGAATAAACCTGAATTTTCAAAATTCGGGATAATTGTAAAACAAACTTTACATTTTTTTCGGATTAGATATTGCAACGACGGTATATTTGTGTTAGGCCCACACTTTTATTTTTCAAAATTGCGAAATTTCAAAATGCGCGATAATTGTAAAATAAACTTCATATATTTTCCTTTTTTGGATTAGATTTAGGTATAGTTTTGTCAGGCCCATATAATTATTTTTGATAATGGGTTGATATCATTTTCCGCTCATATAAATGTTTATTTTTTTCCATTTATATAAATATGTATGTACTATATATGTATGTTTCGTCTCGAACATCTCCTCATCCATTTTTTAAATACAAGAATATGGTCCTATTCTATATTTTTCTCATATCTCTCTCTCTGCATATGTTTGTATTTTATTTGCAAATAGGAAAACTATGTTCTGTGTCCAACCTTGTGCGGAGACAGTAGTAATTGTACGATATCATAGAACGAATGACTCTATATGAACCAAACACGAATGTAATCGTTACCACCAACCACTTTTACAAACTCAAAAATGAAAAAAAAATATGAAAATTAGGCATCTTTAAAAACCAAAAGAAACAGAAAACAGAAAAAACCCAATGACCACTATTTCTTGCAGACAATAAACAATTGGATTTATTTTTGAAATGATATGCAAAAAACACACACTAAGTAAATGTATATGCTAACCTTTTAACAATTATTTTTGTATTCTATTTCATTATCAAATCGCCCGCCCTCCCGTCCGCCCCTCACCATATATAGACTTTCTTCTTCATGCCCAGTTATATCTCTCATACGTTACTATGTTCCTTCGTTCGTTCGTTTCTTTCGTTGTGTTCTATATAGATTTTATATACAAACATATATATACAATTGAACACACTTATAACGACAATTTTATTCCGATCCGTTTGTGAAGTTGCAACAAAATTTCGTTATGCATTCATTATAACTGTGTTCGCCTGTATTAGAAATTCTAGTTAAGTCATTGTGTGTGTGTGAATGCGTTTGGAAAAGATAAACATGAACGTTTAAAAAATATGTTTGTCAATTTGTTGTTATTTCTGTATCAATAATATTTCATTGACATTTCATATCGTTACAAATAAAAATCTATGTTTCATATTGGGTTTCTTCATATACATACTCGGTGTGTGGAGTTTGCACAACATTTCCATTTGCCATATCATATTTCATCCGTGTTGTTTATCCCTTTTTTCTGGTTCAAATTATAGTGAAATTTAAGGAAAAAGAAACCATCGATGGGGGTTTTATTGATTTCGAATCAACTGTGTTTGTTATTGCTATATAAACCGAAATCGTGGAGCGATTAAGGATTTATTTAATGTTATTATGGGTCTCTAATAAATGGGGCATTGATGCCTAAACTAAAGAGTCGGATATCTCACGGTTAGGTTTTTAAACGAGCGATTTTGGACTTCGATTTGAAATTGAGTCATTCTCCATATGATAACCAATAACTGTGCAATCAAATTTTTGATTAATGATATAAAAAGGTCGGGAGGATGGTTATTTGGTTGGTTGGTTTAAGAATGCGCAGCTGCACGTTAACTGCTTCACTCGAAGACCTTTGGCCCATTGTGTTCATCCTAGGAAGAATAAAGTTGTTGGGGATAGGAGAGATCTGGAAGCGAGAAAGAGAAGAAAGAGGTTATAGAGATAATTATAATTAGCGGGGTGGTCTGCCTAGTCAGGGAATGATTTTAGCATTGATGTGCATAACTAATTTGAGAGTAAGTGTATGAGCGTAACTGAGAATTCTCAATAAAAAACATCCCCAGCAGTCCGCTGGCCATACAATTTAATACCCATCCAAATGTATGCTATTTTCATTAGGAAAAATGAAATAACAGTGGTTAATATACATACAGCATACAACTACAACTAGCATGGAAGATGTATGTGCCAAAAAATCCGATGGATCTGAAAAAAGAGAGAAAAGAGAATACGTACCCAGCGGATTTTTTTGCACATACATCTTCCAACTGAGACGACTGACAATGTAGGTGCGACTCATCCAAAGCCTGTATACAATTTCTACTTACATTTACACAGCGATGGCCTAGGCCGTCAGACGAGTCCGAAATCTACCGACAATGTAAGCGAATGTTGAATGGGTCTGAAATCTACCGACATTGTAAGCGAAAGCTGGATGGGTTCAAAATCTATCGACATTCGATTCAGATGCAAGTGCGATGGACACATTTCATTATATTTTGTTTTGTTCTTTAATTCTAATACGGATTTAGTTTCACAATGTAATAGCAATACGACTCATCTAAATCGGATGCTAATTGTATGCTATTAACCACTGTTATTTAAATTTTTCCTATTGACAAAGTAGCATACATTTGGAAGGGTATTACATTTTAAGGGCCAGCGGACTGCTGGGTGTATTACCAGTGCCGCTAACGTTTCTGGTCAGTTTTGCACATTGTAGCTTTTAGCAAAATTGCAGATGATGATGGGATATATTTGAGAAGAGCATAAACAAATAGGCTATGTTCCTGTTGAAAAACGTTGGAAATCTCCCTAGTACAGGGTGAGATAAAAAACTGCAACAAAGTCAAACGCCACAATATTTACATTTTTTTTTAATTTTATTGAATTAAAGCAAAAATGTCGGAAATAGCATCCAATTTTCGAATAAGTTTAGATTTGTTCGAATTGGTCACCTTTCGCACGAATTATGACCTTCAAACGGCCAATGAAACCGTCACATGCTGCCCGAATGTTGCTCTGCGGTATTTTGACCCATTCCCGGCAAAGTGCTTGCTTGAGGCCAACCTTGCTTTCCAAAATACTCCTGACACAATAGTCCAACGGATTGATATTCGGAGATTTTGTTGGCCATTGTGCGCTGGATATGAAGCGAGAAACCTCATTTTGTAATCATTCTTGGGTGGCGCGTGCTGAGTGCGATGGTGCTGAGTCCTGTTGGAATGTCCAAGGTCTGCGGCCTCCAGCATAATTTCGCGATAATATTCGGCATTTATTCTGATGCCACGGTCGATTAATACGAGCGGAGTGCGAATATCGGCTGTTATGGCGGCCCACACCCTCACCATGGCTTGCGCTTGAGTTCTGGTGGCCAACCGAAGGTGCACATTTTCAGCTAACCTCTTTGGCAAGTAAACACGATCATTTTGTTGGTTCACAAACTTCTGGACAACGAATGTTTTCTCATCGGAGAAAATCAAATTCGTCAGTTCACCACTTTCGGCCAAGCGAAGCTCTTTTGAGTCTATTTTCTTTCTGTTGCGGTGTAAGTTCTTGCACCGATCCTTCAAACTAAACAACGGCTGTAGCGTTCTTAAGCAGAAATCTTTGTTGTCAGGAAGACCATAGAGCTGCTGGCAAATATAATCAATGAACTGGATGGACCGGTGACTATATATGTCGATAGTCAAGCGGCCCTGAAGGATCTAAATGAATACTGAAGGACACGGAGGAAACTGAGACGGTGGAGCACTTACTCTGCCACTGCCCAACTCTTATAGGAGTGAGACAGAGGCTACTGGGAAAGCAAATTCTGCCAGACTTGTCCTCCCTCTCCGACATCCAGCCAGCGGTCATTCTTCAGTTAGCCAGAAGACTAAAATGACTGAGGACGACACGTTGATTACACCGTGGATGCCAAACCTACTAACTTTCTCTACTCTTCATTCAGATTCTCGCTTCTTCACTATCCGTTATACATTTCCCTCTCTTCTCTTTGTTCTATTCTCCTATCTTCTTTAAATTAGGATAAACACAATGGATCAATAGGTCTCCGAGTGGAGTGGTTGTTTATACAACCGCTCATCCTTTAACCTAACCTAAACTACAGTACCGTTTAGAAGGTCACCAACCAGACGTTCCGTCCGCTTTGTCCTACTACTGTTAGCAGTAGAATCCATGTCTGTTTTTAGGGTCATTCTCGTTGAGGTGGAGGTAAACTTCGTCCTCGTAGCTTTGTTGATTGAGGGTGCCAAGACGTCCACACCAGCTTCAGCCGAAAGAGAGTTGGTTGTTTTTTATGTCCTCGTCGCCGTAAAGGGACTGAGGTCGACCAAGGCATAGCCATACTAAGGCAAAAACTTGATTCTCATTGAGGTGCCCAGGCATCAACGAGGCTCCATTAGAATATGTACAGTCGGTACCTTAACTGCAAACCAGCAAGACTTGTGGGCACGTGGTCGTGGTTTTTTTCGAGTTAACCTTTTTTTTTTTTGAAGAATTATTGAGGTATAGGCAATGGAATTGACAATTTAAATCGGCTGGGTCTAATAAATCCTTTATAACGTAAACGGACTATAAGAAAGCAGGCGCAGGGGATAATTTTTAGTTTAGTTTCCCCACATCTATTCCTAGTTTCTACATGAATATATAAATACATTTTTTTCAGAGATTGCAATATATGAACCACAATTCAGAAATATTAGAGGTAGAAAATGAGATCGGCATTCGATTTAATTTGATAGAACCCCCTTTTTTTCTTATTTACCTTGCACCCAGGACACATATAAAGCACAATCAAGACATTCACTAACAACAACGACAACCCCATTCACCAAAAATCTCTTCGTTCTTTCAATGCATTCATCGTACATATATAGTAGTAGTATCTGAAAGCACAATTCCTTTAGAGATTCTGCTTTATTTCTTTTAAAAGTTTCTGTTCAATTTTGTGATGATTTGTTGTAAAATTGTTTTGGAAATTTATTTTGAAACTATTTGCAGGAAGAGATGCATGAGCAAATGTCTGGATACAAGCGAATGCGTCGTGAACATCAAGCTGCACTTCTCAAACTCGAAGAGAAGTGCAAAGTGGAAATGGAAGCGCATAAAAACGCCCTGGATAAGGAATATGACAATCTGTTGCATAATTTCACAAGGGAATTAGAAAGACTAGAGGTAAGTAATACAATAAGAAAATTTCCGACTCCACTTCTCACATATCTCCTATATATATATACACAAAATTCAGGCCAAACATCAGCAAGATTTGGAAAGACGCATGAAGCAAACAACAGCTGCCGAAAAGAAATTACACAAGGAGATTACTCTGAAACAGGAATGTGATCGCAAAACCTATGACATGCAACGCAAGAAAGATTACAAGGCCAACAAGGAACGGTGGAAACGCGAATTGTCCATGGACGAATCAACGCCGAAGCGCCAGAGGGATTTAACACTGCAATCACAAAAGGACAGCCTCAAACAGGCCGAGGCCCAAGAAGAACAACGTCTGTTGTCGCTGCAAAAGAAATACATTGAGTTGGAAATGCGCAAATTCAAGCGAAGGCGTTTAATAGCGCTGCACGAGCTGGAAGATCAACTATTAAGAGACGTAAGTTGATTGCTAGCCATTACAAGCTTAAATTAACTCGACTTTTATCTCTCTCTCTCTTATAGGAATTGTCTAAGAAACAGCATCAGCTGGAGCAGGCCCATGCCATGTTACTGAAGCATCATGAGAAGACACAAGAGCTAGAATACCGCCAACAAAAAAGTGTCCATCATTTGCGCGAAGAACAAGTAATATTCTTTCGATATATCTGACAACTCTGACTAACACTAACACTTTCCCTCATCATCGTAGATTAATAAACAACACGATACTGAATTGCAAAATCAAAAAGATTACATGGAGCGAGTTAAAAAAGATTTAGTGCGCAAACACGCTCTGGAAATTAGGCAACATCCTAAGAGTCTAAAGGTAAGTTAAATTGGCCAATGATTTGAATTTATTTTAAATCCATTTCCAAATTAAATTATCGACAAAAAAACTGGATGTTGTTTTGTTTACTGCATTTGTTATTTTTTTCATCTTCATTTGATGCCCTCTCCTCCCAGCAAAAAGAATTGCAAATACGTAAACAATTCCGAGAGACGTGTAAAACGCAAACAAAACAATATAAACGCTATAAAGCCCAGATATTGCAAACGACGCCAAAGGAGCAACAAAAAGAAGTCATTAAACAATTAAAAGAAGAAAAACATCGTAAGCTAACGCTGCTGGGCGAACAGGTAAGCATTATCAAATAATTTAATAAATTTATAGATTTAAAAAAAAAATTGGGGAAGAAAGTGCGGAATAGTTAGGACAGGATAACCAATGTATTAAAATTTTCAAATATAAAAATGGAAATCTTCAACATAACAAAGGCAAAAAACTGCCGTCATTTGTAGATAATTATTCTGTTCCCAAACTGTGTGATTTTAATAACTTTTATCGATCCGACAATCGATAAGATTTTCAAAGCTTTCAGTTTGGAAAAAAATTTAACGAAACAAGGCATAGTAAAACTTTTGTCGTTACGCTTATGATGATCATGTTGGTACTTAAAACCCGACTTTCGCCTCAGAGAACTGCTCAACCCTTCTGATGTTCGGGTACCAGGAAGGATTTCCAGGACATCATCCAAAATGCAACCATTCGAATACCCGAAAAATACCAAATTTTCTTTTTTGTCGCCAGTAGCAAAGACTCATGGGGTTTGATGTTTCACCATTCTATTCAATACATGCATATCTCGCTTGAGCTAGTCTCTATTGAACCATACATGGAATGTATGAGATCAGCAGTCAAACGTGGAACTGCCAAGATAAAGGTGCTTAATATGTGTATCCCGCCGATTAAAAGCTGTGAACCGCGTTATTAGCCCTTTGTTGGTAGACAATAACCACTGGGTACAATGAAATTTTAATGCTCGGAATGACGGAATGCCATCCTAGGAAATGAACAAAGGTGATCAGCGCTGGCAGAGATCACTCCGCTCGATCCACTGACTCAGATACGCGTCTAGTCAATTAATCGGCTGATTCATTGCCAGATATGTTACAATGGCCAGGGACCCAACAAATTTTACCAACGATTTAAACTTTTCCAGAGCATTTTTGTTTTACAGAACAGCCATAGACTTGATTGTAAAAGAATTGAGAGCCCTCAAGGCCGTCTGACTATCGACGAATATTCATCTATTGAACTCATTGATTCTTTTTTCCAACAGTTCCATGGCTTTCCTGATAGCAAAGATTTCAGCTTGAACAACGCTGCAGTCGTTGTTTAATTTAAAGGATCTCCGGATATTTAAGCATTCGCAGAAGACCCCCGCCCGTTCCCTTTCCATCTCGATATTACTTACGCTCTTCGATATTATTTTTCCTATTTAGTTTCTTGTTAAGGATGGCACTTAGCTTCCATTGATAGGCTTAACCTAACTCCATCCAGCATAGGTAACGAAAAATCAGGGATTTTCCGCTTCCTTGTATAGAGTACGAGCTCAGTTTTAGATTTCGTCGTGCCCACCTGGAAAGTTTAACAAGAGCTCCCTGCATAAGATCTGAATCAATTTGCAAGAATTTACCCGCAATCAGCAGAACCACATCGTCTTTTGTTCCGTTGTTCCAGGTCTTTAAGTATGTCGTTTATCACCAAGAGCTAGAGCAATGGCGATAGACCATCTCCTTGCGGGGAGCCCGTAGTAACCGATTTCTGAAAAAGAAAAAAACCCACGACATCATGCTGCGCCATTTCAACAGATTTCCCTTTCATATGGGAATGTTGAGCAGCGCTTATTAAAGCCAAGGGTAGTACAGATCTGATCTCAATATGTATTAGTCTGTCCAGAGTTTTCAATAGAAAGGACGAAAGACTGATAGGCCTGTAGTAGGTGTAGTTGATTCGGTTTCCCCGACTTGGGAATATAAATTACTGTAACTTCCCTCCACAGTGATGGAATATTAGAGAGACGCAGACAAGTCTTAAAAATCACTTCCAGTGTTGGTACTATTACCGTCGATACATGGCGGGAATAATGTTTGAAGAAGTTTATCACCCAGGATTTTTGGGTTGCTAACAATTCTATCAATCATACTCACATCCTCTGCCACACAGTGCTGATTATATCGCTTTGCATCTGCGCAGATTGAGAGTCTCTAGACCAGAGTCAGTCCAGTTTCGTTTTATACATCCAATGGTCCTTTGAAAGAACTTTACGAAATCTTAAAGCTTCATTGACATACCTCCCATACAATGGATGACAATTTTGATTACCCATAAACCTCATAAAATGCAAAATGAGCAGACGACTCTTTTTAAACTTGGTCCAATCCCAATATCCAGCCTTCTCTTATGTGTTTTATACCCTTCACCATAGTATGGAGGTTATATTAAGTTTGTCATTCCGTTTGTAACACCTCGAAATATACACTTTATACCCCACAAAGTATATATATTCTTTATCAGCATAAAATTCCATGTCGATTTAGCGATGTCCGTCCGTCTGCCCGTCTATCTCTTTTGTGGAAATCACTCCAGCGTATGTCTGCAGGAATTTTGGTATTGAAAATGGGTCATGTAGGTCCACGTTTTGGTATAGCCCCCATATAACGGAAATTATTCACCGGAATTGTGTCAAATTTGGTATTTGAAGTTCGTAATGGATACTACAGCCTATGACAGAAAATTGTCTGTGCAAGTCCACGTCTTCGTATAGCCCCAATATAACGGTACCTCCCTATATTCAGTATTTAGATGATTTTAGCTACATTATTCACCGATTTTTTCAAGTTTCGCATTTAAATATTCTAATGGCTTATGACAAAAGTTGCCTATACAGGTCCACGTCGTCATATAGACCCAAATACAACGGCTACATTCGGTATTTTTAAGATTTTAAGAAAATTTAACGGATTTTTTTTAATTGCCTAATTCGTTCCCAATGGTAGAGGATAATAAAAGATCGGCTCGGTCGAACTTACAGCTTTTTTACTTTTTTGTGTCCATTTGTAGTCCTACAACCAATACGGTTTAGAACGTCTAGTAGAACAATTTTTATACTGTTAAGCTAGTACAATTTGGCAATCGGGCAATTATTTAGCAAGGGATTAATTTTTCGATTGAACAATTTTTAACTTTTCTGATTTCTAATCCACTTTTACTCTTCCATTTCTCCCATACAGTATGAACAAAGTATTGCTGATATGTTCCAAAGTCAAAGTTATAAACTAGATGAAAGTCAAGTGATCGAGTGCCAACGTACCAACGAAATGTTGGAATATGAATTAGATGTCTTAACTGCCTATCAAAATAAGAACAAGAAACAAGCTCAAGAGCAACGCGATCGAGAGCGTAGAGAATTGGAAAATCGTGTGGCAGTCCGTCGTAGTGTGTTAGAGAATAAGGTAATGTACTAGAGTCTCGCTGTGGTTGATGATCTTTGCAGAGGATTAATTGATTATGATTGCAATTGTTCAATTGTTTTATTTACAGATGGAAGCGGAATTACTACAATTCAATCAAGAACGTGCCGAACGATTGCGATTGATGCACGAGAAACATGTTAAAGAAATTGATGCTTTCGATGAAGAATCAATCACTTTAGGTTTCAGGTAAATTGACATTTTACGAAAACTGATAAAGATTTGTTAACGTCTCTTCCTCTTTCATTTACAGCGCTATGGCAGTTGCCGAAGGATCACGGGAGGCATACCCTGATGAAGAGGGTAGTCTATCGGGGTCTATGATTAGTTTAGCGCATAGTAATAGTTCAACAAGTTTTCCGGCTGGCTCCCTATAGCATAGAAATGTTAATAATACAAATGGATTTCATCAAATTAATATTTTAAATAAAGATAATGTAATTATTGCTAGTAACATAACAACAACCGCAACAACAATAACGAGAACATCCATGAACTACACCCCTACAACAACTACAATAGCAATAGCAACAAACATAGTTTCAGTGTCAGCAGCAGCATCTGCCTCAGCTACGGCATCAGCATCATCGACGTCGACAACAGCAACAACAACACCCACAACTTTAACAAAACATTTTCGCATTACGACTCAAAGTGGTGATGATGATAATGAGTGTAACAATAAAAAGCAAAAGAACAACAACAAGTGCAAGCAGATTCAACACCAGCAACCAACAAAAGATGATAATAATGTGGATGCAACAACTTGAAACAAATGGTGTACAAAAACAAATAAACAAACAATTGCAGCAACAACAAACCACACAACAATAATAATAATGAAACAGAATAATGCCGCTTATTAATCATCAATGTAATATCATTTAAGATTTAAAAGTAGTATGAAGAAGAATAGTAAAGGATGATAATAGATATGATGAGGATGATGATGAAGATGATGTGATGATGTTTTGTAAACTAAATTCAAACTTATGGAACTCACACACGTACACTCACATTTCCCCTTATTATCCACTCAACTTTACTCCTCCCTATGCACGTACATTTACCAAGCCACAAAAAAAAGAATATAAAACAAAAAAAAAAAAAAACGAAAAAAATATTATCATAACTACCCGTCACCGCCAGAACACACCGCCCGCCACCATCCATTCGCCCACAAAACACTCACTCACTCACACAATTTAAATAGAACTACATAATTATATACCAGCAAACTCCCCTGAACACACAATCACCAACACACCACTACCATTTGTCAATAACAGAAAGAAAAAAAAAAACAATAAAAAAAAGTTTTGATAATCCAATAAATAAGAAGTAATATTTAAATACAAACAATAACAAAACATTAAGATAGATTCTCCCAAAAAAAAAGATAAAATTTGCGAGATATCAAATAAAATACAACAATTTATAAAAGGATCGGATCGCTTACGGAGGAGCAGAGGATTAAGAAGAATGGTTATAATAATGATAATACATAAATAACATAATATACATGCATATACATATATAATAATATGATAATTAAATAATTAATATATAATAATAATAATAACAATAATATTTAATAATTAACGCAAATTATTATAAAATAATTTATTTTTAAGTTAAATAAAAAATAACAAAAAAAAAAAAATAAACGCGTTATAAAAAATATTTAAAAATTTTTCCTTTTTTTTTTTGTCAGACCAAAAAATGATTTAGCCTTCACTCTTGTTTTGAGGGGAGGGTGAATTTAATGCATTGTATAACCACCGTTTAAGGGTTTGTAGTTATTTTATAGCGCCCGCCACAAAATGGAGGATACATAATTTGTCATACTGTTTGTAACATTTCGAGAGCTTAAAAAAGTATATATATTCATGATCACAAAAAACTGCTAAATTTATGGCTAGAGAGGGTATACAGGGTGAGATAAAAAAGTTAAACGCCATAATTTTTACATTTTCTTTTAATTTTTATTGAATGAAAGCCAAGAAATAGCATCAAATTTTAGAATAAGTTTATATTTGTTCGAATTGGCCACCTTTAGCACGAATTATAGCCTTCAAACGGCCAATGAAACCGTCACACGCTGCCCGAATGTTGCTCTGCGGCATTTTGGCCTATTCCCGAAGAAGCGTTTGCTTGAGGTGATCGACACTTGGTATTTTTTAGTGTCAACCTTACTTGCCAAAATACTCCAGACATAATAGTCCAGCGGATAGGTTTCCGGAGATTTTGGTAGCCATTGTGCGCTGAAAATGAAGCGAGGAACCTCATTTTGTAACCAATCTTGAGTGGCGGCGCGTGCTGAATCCTGTTGGAATGTCCAAGATCTGCGGCCAAAATGTTTGCGTGCCCAAGGCTTTAATACACCCTCCAGAATATTTTCGCGATAATATTCGGCATTTATTCTGATGCCACGGTCGATTAGTATCACCTCACCTCGCTTGAGTTCTGGTGGCCAAACGGAGGTGTACATTTTCAGCTGACCTCTTTGGCAAGTAAACACGATCATTTTGTTCGTTTACAAACTGCTGAACAACGATTGTTTTCTCATCGGAGAAACCCAAATTCGGCAGTTCACCACTTTCGGCCAAGAAACCCGAAGCAACTCTTAGCTCTTTGAGTCTATTTTCTTTCTGTTGCGGTGAAAGTTTTTGCACTTTTTGGAATTTCAATGGCTTTACCCCGAGCTCATTTTTCAATATTTGCCGAATGGAATATTGCGATATGTTCAGCTCACGAGTCATATTTCGGTCACTGCGACGCGTGTTTCGATCAAGTCGCTTCTTTACTTTTCGACTGATGTTGCTGTTTTCTTCCGTCCACTTCCACGACCTCGGGCTACGCTACCAGTATCACGGTAACGAGCGGTGGTACGAGATACAAAAGATTTCTTTATTTAAATGCTGGAGTGCTCTAACGATAGTCACTTGTGGTTTTCCAGCCAAATATAAAAAAATCTCGCTTGAATTCCATCACGAATAACTTTTTTTTCTGGAAAATTCACACCAAAATGCTTTTTTACGCTTGTAAACAATATAATGAGCTGTCACTGGAATAATTTAAACTGCTGTCGAAATATTGTCTTAGAAAAGATAGCAGTCTGAAGTTGGTTGCAATTTTTTCATCTCACCCTGTATATGTCCCTTATTATGGTATTTTCATGGCTTGCAAGTTTATCGACGAAAAGCTTTTGAAGTTGATGGGCGTAGACAAAAAACGGCTGGACTGCGGAGATCTCATATATGAAACTGTTGGAGTGCATTTTTGTGGGATTTTCGCAGGTTTTTCCAACACATCTTCTCAATAACTTTCTATCGAAAACTTTTATTTCCTTTGCCACTATATTGGAAATCCATACACGAGAGTGCATCATATTGCAATTTGATAGAGGAGCAGCTTAGTTTTCTGAGGTAAGTATCTGGTGTTGAATAAAGTCCAATATACAATATACTGTTTGTCCTTCTGTAGGATTTTTCGTCCGTGTAAATTGACGGATGCGTCACGCTACTGTCAAATCTAATAAAGATAGGAAGCTAAAATTTTACACAGATCTGTCTTTTGGCTGCAGGCAGGTCAAGATCGAAGATGGGCTATATCGGTCCACGGTGTCGTATATCCCCCATATAACGGTACCCCCCGATATTCGGGATTTTGATGATTTTAGCCACATTTTTCCATGGAACTGTCTGAAATTCTACACAAGGAGTTTTTCATGGGCACTTAATCCCTGAACGAGAATTATCTATATAGGTCCACGATATCGTATAGCACCCATACACCCCTCGATATTCGCTATTTTAATGATTTCAGCCGAGTTTTTCAATGGAATTTTCTTAAAATCCACAAATGGAGTTCCTTGTGAGTACCTCATACCCTAGAATAGAATTAGCCAAATACTTACACGTTTCAATATAGCGCCCATATAACGGTACCCCCATATATTCGCTATTTTCATGATTTTTGCGACATTATTCGCCGGAATTGTTTTAAATGTCGTATATAAAGTTCAGAACAGTTACTACAGTCTATGACACAAAATATTATGCAGGACCAAGTCTTTGTATAGCCCCATATAACTGTTTTCATTTGAGCGGTATTTTCCAACGGATTTTTTTTTGGAAACTTTCAAATGGTGGAGGGTATAAAAAGTTCGGCCCGGCCGGAACTTAGCTGCTTTTTTACCTGTTTCTGTTTATACCGCACTTTTTGTGCTAGGCTAAGTTTCCGAACTGCCTTCGCATTAATCTCAGTTTAAAACGGACAGCTGATATTTTAAGAGCTATTAAAGGGCACATGTGTTGCATTTTTTGTTCTCATAGACCCTTGTAGAAGAAAGGCAATGAAAACTAGAAGTTTCCACGGTATAGCTGCAAGATGAACATCTTTGGCCCTTATTAATAATTTATTTGTGCTTAGTCTACTCAAAATAGAAAACTATATTCAAATAGAATCACAAATATATATTTTACATTTATATTTCTAATAAATATTTTTTGCGTACATCGCTCTTTATTTCTATGGCTAATAATCTTATATTAATACTTCATTGTAAATCTAAAAGGAAAATACAACGGTGTCATATTTTGTGTTCTCATTTTGTCTCGTCCTCATTGCAATAAACTTTCCAAGAAGGAATTTTTGTTAATTATTTTCGTCGTGGCTATGACAAACTCAACATTGTTGTCCTCATCTTGGGCTAGGAAACGTAACGCTGCTATTTCGGCAAATGTGCAACCACCTACAAAGAAGACCAACACTACACGTGGAATGTTTAATGACGAACCTTCGCTGGGTGTGGATGAGTGCCGGCCGCCAATGCCAATTAATTGGGCCTGGAAATCTTCAAACGTAGGTCCCGGCAAATTGTTAATTTGGCTCTTCAGCGACTGCCAGCCCAGCGGCTTAAGAGATTGTTCAACAATGCGGGCAATTAGTGGTGCATAAAAACTATGAACATAGCTTATGTCTTTGGGATTCACTTCAATAACTTCATCGACAGTTAAATTTAAAGTCTATGCGAAAGAAAATGAAAACCATTTATTCTTTGATTGTTGGCCACAATTTATGAAAACTAAAGTAGTACTTACTTTTCTCAACACAGCATAGGCACGAGATTCGGATTGTGTATAGAGAACTCCTGCCTTTTCCAGATTACTGATTTTCAACAAGACCTCTATACCGTACACATGGACCAGCTCACGTTTATAATATGTCAGTACCTAGGCCATAATTAAACATTTATCAATCATCGACAACCGGCATCAGAACCCCCTTACCTTTTCCTTAAATCCCGATGCCGCTGCACATTGGATGCAAATTAAACGTAGAACCTTCTTTAGATCTGCCTTTTTTGCCATCAAATCTTCAATATAGCCACTGGGCTTGTCGATGTCTTCACACATCATAAACTCTTGCTCGGCCGCTAAGTCATCGGTGAATTCAAATGCATCCAGCTGTTTGCGTATATTCTCGGCTATTGTTGTGTGATTGGCAACCGATTGCTTTTGTGCCAGTAAAGCTGGCAATTTGTCCACTAGTCTTTTCATTTCTTGTACGGAATTTTCCTGAGAACTGGCATTCATGGCAGCACTGATGTCCTTGGCACTGCGCGACAAGATTTTACCAATTTCATTGAAATTCTTGTTACGTAGTTCCGGATACAATGTCTCGCCGGAGTTTAATAGAATCACTTTCTTTTCCGATGTCATGTGAGCCGGTGAGCCGTCTCTCTCATTACTTTTGGCAAATAGCTCAGCAGGCAACGTTAACTTATTCTGCTTGACTCCATAGAATTCATCAATCAAACCCTCGTAGGTGAGCTGCGTTGCAAAGGCACTCAGAAGATCAATTTGCCGGTCTAATAAAATTATCTGGTCTATAGTTCCTCGTTCACCGGTGGACAGCAATTTCTCTTCGGCTCCCAATTTTTTCGCTCTCTCCCAGACACCTTGAGCCATTGTACCTTTGCCATAGATTTTCGGAATGCGTCCATAGATACGTTGCAATTGCACCAAACCCACGGCGGCTTGATAAAGGGCAGTTGGATCACCATCTATTGCCACATCCTTAAATGCCATTGGATTTTCCATTGAAATTACATCGTTTTCTATAGGATAGAAATTCCAAGAAAGTTCTTCCACCATTCCAAAGCTGCCATAAACTCCTTTTTGTTCCAAATGTTTTTCACACAAACACGAACGTCTCGGCACAAAGAATAAATGGAATACTCGATTCTTATCAGAATTCTTGAGCACTTGTCCGGCAATGTCATCCATAATGCTAACTAGTGGCCTCACCAAGTAAATAATGTTGACATAGTCCTTGGGCATACGCGTTTCTTTCTCCAGCTTGAGTAATTTTATACCCCGTTCGGAGAACAGACTAGGTGGAGCTACCAAACCCAATGGTCCCAATAGCACATCATCCAATATTATTGCTTTCGTTCCCTCAAGTTTGTCCAATAAGAGTTCCAATTGCTGGCATGACGACTCCTGGAGTAATTGTAAATTTACTCTTCTCTGACTTTGCAGATAAGAGAACATCTCGGAAGGAAATATCTACAAAAATGATCCAAAACTAAGCGGTTTAGGGGAGGAGACTTCCTTCTTTGTCATTTAGGAAAACAAGTAGAGGTGGTAAACAATCGATGTCAATATTGATAATATCGATATTGCTTTATTTTAAAGGGGATATCGATTGATATTTTTTCTATAGAGTTCCAGTATAAGTTGTGTTCGAGAACCTGCAGTATAGTACGATTTTGTAGCAAGTTTACAATCTTTTACTTAAAGGATTCCCAAATAATTTTGACATTTGTTGCGTGGTGGGCACTATTTAATTTTTAATTGATGTTTTTTTAGCTAACATCCGCGACGTGCAAACCGCAGCAACCCGTGTTTAAAAAATGAAGCGGAAATGTTCTGTCCCAATGGTAATTAGAATTGCCACCACTGCCAGTGTTGTATTTGGATCGATTATTTGGTAGATAAATTAATCGAAAATACAACCTGCGATATTGTAAGGGCTCGTTAGGTCGGTATCATAAAGAAGGTAAATGTCAGGAAAAATTAAGGAAAAGCCGAAAAGCGGAAAAATGCCGCGTCATTCCCGTAGGTATAAAAGGGGGAAAAAGGAAAACGCGCCCTTATTATTCAAGTGGTGCGACAGTAAAATAGTGGTCATAAAAGTAAAAAAAATTAAAACCTGCCAAATTTCAAAATAAAAATTACTTTTTTTAAGGCAATAAAAGCCTCGATATTTATTTTATTATTTATGGTGAAGGCGTTAGTAATTGATTGTAAGTGATCCTTGTATGAATTATAATTGTGTAGATATATGAGTGTTTTTGTGTTGTGTGCTTTTATGTCTTTCAGTGTTTCGCCAAAATAATTTAAATTTCTCGAGGGTATCAACTGGCCTCCTCGGCGAACAAAAGCGGAGAGGTCAGCCCATCTTTGACGGCCACAGCAACCACCACAACGCAAAATTGAGGCCCCAGCAACCGCCTCCATAACACCAATTCCCTTGATCCATGATATCCGGGTTCTGCTTTATCCTGGTGGACGAGGTCGCGGAAGAGTGATCCTGGAAAAGAACAAAGCAGGTTGTACTAAAGAATGCAAAAAGCCAGGTAACAAAGTTATTTATTAAACTTACCGCTTGTTTGATACAACCACTGGCATAAAATAAAAACCAGAACCAGGAGGGAGACCCTGCAACAGAAAAAAGGAGAAATTCCATTAAATAAAATTTTAAGAAAAAGCAAAAGGCAGAAAAATTCATATAAATTAAGAGAAAGAACTAATATAATATTCAAATTTTTAATTAAGATAATATATTTAGGTTAAGTTGTGTTGTCTAAGTTTATTATTTGTGTTTTTTTTTGTGTCCAGCATAAATGTTCTTGTTTTTGTGAGGGACATTAACTATTCTAAATTTTATAAGTAAATTGGAGTGTAGGGTTACCCCAAATTACTTTGAGTGTTATAATCAAGATTTTTTTTTGAGGTTCCGTTGAATATTGTGGACCAGTTTGCGGGTCCCTCACCACCTAAGAGAGCTCGTTTAGGCAGGTACTAATTGCATAACTTAGAAAGTCCAAAATTTGGTGACATTTAGTTGACTGAAGTAATGAAGGGTGGTCTGATATATATGAACTCCTCAAACAATGACTAAGAGATCCTGATAGTTAATGTTTCAAATTTCAGCTTGTTTGTTCTATTTTAAGGAAATCTTATATATTGATAAATTGTTCGTAATATGATTGTTTGTGTAATCATGATTGTCTAGTTCATTCATGAGAGAGTGAATTTGGTGTACATTGTACTGAGGTGAGTGGGTGTGGAATACGGGGCCCTGATAAAATTGACAATTATGTAGGATCTCAGGGTCAAGGTTGGGCGGGCTAGCGTGGGAGTGGCAATATCAAACTCCTTTGTTCCAGGTGTACGTAGTGTTTGTGTTATGTAGAATTTGTATTTATCCATTAATTGTTTAATTGTTCGTCCCCAAGGCTATTGGTGTATGGGATGGAACCAACCCCTGAACATGGCTCCTGAGCTAGCGGCCACAACACCATAGTGCCGAAGCAGGTGGCACGTAACAATATGGCGCCCAATCGAAAGCTATAATGTCTTAAATTCAGTGCAATAACAGCTTAGCACAGTGCAATAAACTATAGGGTTCAAATAGGCATAAGCGAAAATCACATTTTCTTACGACGATTATCTCATGTTGCAGACGCAGCTTTAATTCTTTAAAATTTGTGATAAACGTGCAATAGTAGATGAGGTTTTTAGAAAATTAGGATTTTCGTTCCAACTACAAGGGTCAGGTGCAATAATCTTGTTAGTTCAATGTAACAATGAATGTATTGTGTTTTATGACCTGTTTTTTTTGTGTTTCTGTATGTTTTATTTTAAAGTAGAAAAAATAGACGTAGGGTATAACATAAGGGAAACGTGCAAAGCTTGAGGTGAAGCATCTCAATGTGCATTGTACGGAAGTACTTGTTCACGAGATCTTTTTCGTTATTTTCTTTCGAAAGCTGCCGTGGTTTTACCCTCAAATTTATGTTTTTATGTAATTTTTGTATTTATTGTTTCGAAGTCGTCAAATCGAGATGACATAAGAGAGGAAAAGTACAATAGCGTTCGTGAAGAAGTTTTCGCAAACTGTATTGTACGAAAGAAAATTTAACCTCCTTCACGAGATCCGTATTCTCTTATGATGGGAAAACTGCCGTGGTGGTCGTCTCTAAATGTTTGTCTTTGAAACAAAATAAATAAGTGAATATGTAAAGTCCAGTCTAGCAGTACACCAGAACAACCGTAAAAGGACACTTATAATGCGTGATAGGATTTCTTATAACATAATGAAATAAGTCCACACACTCAACCTCAAAAGCAATTGAAAAAAAAAAAAAAACACCAAACGAACTCTCATCGTCAATGTTTAAATCACTATTAACTATTGATATTGTCTTGTGTTTGAATGTTTTTGTTTATGGTTTTTGTCCTTAACTTATTTTGATTATTATTTTAGTTTTATTTACTATTTTCTTATTTTTATTTGATTTAATTATTTATTTTTTTTTACTTGTTCTGCTTATTAGTGCGTTTTGATTATATGTTTAGTACACTTATAGGTTTAATTATATTTTATTTTATTAATTACTATTGTTCATTTTTTTGGTATTTATATATTTTGTTTTTTAAAGAACTTTTCTAAATTAGTTATTTTTAAATCATTAAGTCATACACCCCTGCTTTTATTATCTGAAATTGTGGCAATCTAAATTTCGGCACAACAAAAAAGTAAACCCACAGCTATTAATAGACAATTGATTTTTTTTAATAAAATTAATTGGGTAAACGAGTTGAAGTCTGATGAGTGATTATACGGCGGGAAAAAGAAGAAGTAAACGCAATAGAACACTAGCTTTCGACACGAGCAGGATTTCTATACAATCACCCAAACCTAATAACAAAAAGAAAAAAGTAGTCTCAAACATGGAGCAATCCAATGGTATTAGGGATACAACAATAAGGGATTTGTCCGGATCCATTAACAACACTCAACCGAGTACCAGTAAGAGTGCTAGGGTACCATCGAATTTACCTCCAACGCCTACTCCAAGTAATCAGCAAGGCGATGTAAACAATGTAATCAGGAGTATGGTACGCGAAAGTATGAATGACGCCCGAGGGTATTTGAGATCATGGGTGGAAGAAAGTGTTGCCAAAGAAATGGATAAAATTCACTCGGTGATAAACCGATTGAGCGATAATGTCAGCAGGTTATCGATAAATGTCCAAAATCAGCCAACAATACCAAATACTTTACCGAACCCCCCGGGAAACCCTACAGATGAGTTCCCTACACAACATAGAGATAATGTTAATAATGGTAATCGCAGAAGCACTGTGATTCCATCCGTGATTAGTACTGGCATCCATGGAATAAAAGTTGAACGTTTTGGATTAAATTTTTCAGGGAAACCAAACAGTCTGTCGGTGGAAGATTTTATCTACCGGCTGGAATACTTTCAACAACATTACAAACTAGCTTGGGAAGACATTTTAAATGAATTCCATATTTTGGTGTCTGGTCCAGCCTATGAATGGTTCTGGCTCCAACAGAGGTCAAACAACATTAACGATTGGGATTCCTTAAAGCATGGGTTAAATGAAAGATTCAAGACAAGGCGAACAACATTTGAATCGATGCGGGATCTGTTAGAAAGGAAACAGGGGGCAACCGAGTCCATTGATGCTTTCTTTCATGAAATAAATCTAATGAGATCGAAACTGGAAAGGCCAGTCTCAGAATACGAGATTATTTCTTTGGTTAAGAAAAATTTGAGAAAGAATCTATCGAGTATTGTGTACTCGATGCCCGTGTCGTCATTAGAGCAGCTAAGAGTGGAGTGTTTGGAAATTGAGAGGACATTTTTTCGACGCGACCCATTATCTCAAGCTCCTCCACCAACCATAAACAGACCCATACGTGTACACGCCATGCAAGAAGAAGAAATAGAATATCCGAATTTGGTAGAACCGGAAGAGTTAGTAGATGTTTCGGCCCTAAACCAAATTGTTTGTTGGAATTGCCAAATAGCGGGTCATGGATTTAGGGATTGTCCGTCGTCCCAAAGAGGACTATTTTGCTTTAAGTGTGGAAGGCAAAATACCATAACACCCAAATGTGGAAATTGCAAAGCGGGAAACGTGAGAAAGAACGTGGTTCTAGCGGGGAACCATCGTTCTTCCGAACAACCCGCTGCGACGAACCCACTGTAGAATTAGTTGATACCATCGTCAATAACTATTCCCAAATTCGGCATTATCTTCCAATTGAGTTCAGGCAGAGACATTATAAAAACAAAAGAGCAGAAATTTTTCAGGAAGATGAATCTCGCAATAATTCCGAATCAATATCCATAGGGGTAAATAAAAATATGAAAAGTAGAATGAGGATAATGAAATTGAGGCAACGACATAAAGAAAATAAAGAATTAAAAAAATTGATATCCGAAGCCGTCATCCGGTGCAAATATAGAACGGATCCTAGACCATACGCTAGCATTAAAATCGAAGGGAAAGAGATAAAGGGTCTATTAGATTCTGGGGCTACGGTTTCAATACTAGGGAAGCATTGCCGAGAAATAGTTGAGGAATTAAACATTATTGTTGATCCACAGGACACGAATGTAAGTACGGCGTCAGGGAAAACCCATCGCATAGTGGGCAAAATAGAGGTAGAGGTAGAATATCAACAACAATTCTTAAAAATGCGTTTCTATCTATGCCCAGATCTAGAACAAGATCTTTATCTAGGAGCAGATTTCTGGAAATTATTTAATATTGCCCCAGAAATATTTCCCATAGACGAGATAACCGTGGACTTACAAGAGCAGATGCGTGGAACCTCGACCAACGAAAATAAGAATATGCACCAACTAACAGGGGAACAACGTAGACGCCTAGAAGAAATAATAAATAAGTTCCCAACGTTTGAAAAAATTGGACTGGGTTGTACGAAATTAGAGAAACATGCAATTAAGTTAGTAGGGAATGCGAATCCTGTCAAGGATAGACATTATCCTTTATCGCCGGCCGTACAGGAAATCGTATATAATGAAATAGATAAAATGCTCGCTCTGAAAGTTATTGAGGAGAGTGATTCGCCATGGAGTAATCGTACTACCGTCGTGCGAAAACCGAACAAGAATCGTTTCTGCCTCGATGCGAGGAAACTAAATGCCCTAACGGTGAAGGATGCATATCCATTACAGAATATCGATGGAATATTAAGCCGAATTGATCAAACCCATTTTATCAGTAGTGTCGACCTGAAGTATGCCTTCTGGCAGATTGAGTTGGAAGAAGAAGCGAAGCCATATACCGCCTTTACAGTACCAGGTCGACCACTATATCAATTCAGGGTCATGCCGTTTGGGCTTTGCAATGCGGCGCAAAGATTATGCAGGTTGATGGATAAGGTCATCCCAGGACGACTAAAATCCAATGTTTTCATATATCTGGATGATCTCCTGATTATAGCTGATGATTTTGAGAACCATGTCAGAATTTTGGAAGAAGTAGCTGAATGCCTGCAAAGAGCGAATCTGACGATTGGACTCAAAAAGTCGTTATTCTGTTTTCGAGAGTTGAAATACCTTGGATTCATAATCGGTAGCGGGATGTTGAAGACTGATCCAGAAAAGGTGAGCGCTATCCAGAGGATACCGCCACCAAAATCGCCGAGGGAAGTGCGAAGTTTTCTCGGTACTGCCGGTTGGTACCGGAGATTTATAAAAGATTTTGCATCCATATCTTCCGCCCTAACAGATACTTTAAAAAAAGGAAAAAAATTCGTAATGACTCCGGAAGCGATGCAATCTTTCCAATCTCTAAAATATGCTCTCACATCCGCACCGGTTCTCAGGCACCCTGACTTTAATAGAGAGTTCTTTATTCAATGCGACGCCTCGGAATATGGAATAGGAGCAGTACTTTTCCAAAAGAATGAATTTGGCGGAGAGAACCCTATCGCTTTTTATTCCCAAAAACTGAATTCCGCCCAGAAGAATTACTCCGTCACAGAAAAGGAATGTTTGGCCGCAGTTTTAGCGGTAAAAAGGTTCCGTCCGTACGTCGAGCTTATGAAGTTCACAATCATCACGGATCATGCCAGTCTTAAGTGGCTGATGTCCTTAAAAGATTTAAGTGGAAGACTGGCGAGATGGTCACTTCAACTTCAGGCGTACGATTTTTCAATTGAACATCGGAAAGGATCGGAAAATGTTGTAGCGGACACACTGTCTCGAATGTCGGTTGAGTCTGATGTCGTTGTAGAGGAATTGTGTGACGATAATATATTGGATTTCGAAACTACGGCATTTGAAAGTGGAGAATATGTCGAGTTGCGCAACACCATACAACAAAACCAAGATCGTTTGCCGGATTTAAAAATCGACAATGATAAAATCTATGTTCGAACCAAAAATTTTGAGCAAGAAATGATGGAATTTGAGTGGAAACTGTGGATACCTCAGGACATAACATATGTACTGATTGAGAAAGCACACATTTACGGTAGCTCGGTCCACGATGGTATAACGAAAACCTTAAAACGATTAAAAACTTATTTTTATTGGCCAAAAATGTCATCGCAGGTACGACAATTCATACAAAATTGTACAACGTGTAAAGAAACGAAATCGGCAAATCAGCGTATGAACCCTACGATAGGCAACGAAGTTATAACTGAGAGACCTTTCCAGAAGTTGTATATAGATTTTCTGGGAAAGTATCCCAGATCAAAACAAGGCAATTCCTACATCTTTATAGTAGTCGATCATTTTACGAAATTCACATTCCTACACGCGATGAGAGAAGCCACTGCATATAACGTGGTAAAATTTCTGGAAAATCAAGTCTTCCATACATTCGGGGTACCCGAGATCATACACAGCGACAACGGAAAACAGTTCGCCTCAAAAGTTTTCGCGGATATGATAAAAGATTACAAAATCACCCACATCACCACAGCCTATTACTCTCCGCAATCTAACGCATCAGAGCGAGTAAATCAGTCAGTATTAGCCGCCATACGAACGTATGTTGAAAACGATCACCGGGATTGGGATCTTTATTTAGCGGAAATCGAACAAGCATTGAGAACCTCAGTACATTCAGCAACTGGAACCAATCCTTTTTTCGCATTATTTGGTTATAACATGTTCACTAGTGGAACCGATTACAAACTGGCAAAAAAACTCCAATCCCTGACTGATCACCAAATTGATCAAATAAATCGATCAGATAAATTAGAATTAATGCGAGAGAGAATAAAAGAAAACACACACCAAGCTTATATATCTAGTGCGAAAAGGTACAACCAACGAGCACGTATTGTCAAGTTTCTACCGGGACAGGAAGTGTATAGGAGAAATCATACCCTTTCAGACTTCAAAAATAATATCAATGCGAAGTTCTGCAAGAAATTCCTGAAATGTAGGGTAGTAAAACCAGTGGGCAATAATATGTATGAGCTAGAAACGCTCCAAGGAAAACCACTTGGTAATTTCCACGCAAAGGATATAAAAATATAAACAAAAGTATAACAAGCTGTGATAAGATAATTTATGTGCAATACTAGATTAAGCAGAGTTAATCTATGATGCAATAATTTTTGTTTATACACGATGTTCTTTTGTTTATATATGTATTCAATAATGTGAGCAAATGTATCGTAAGCTGTAAAAAAATACTTTAGTGCAATATTAGATTATCTGTGTTGCGTTGAGTTTTTATATACGTGCTTATTGTGTCATTTGTGAATGTTTTGCGTAAACATGGAAGCGGAATGAATTTAGTGGAAAATATATATAAGGCAATCCTGGTTTTAGGAAATTATGTCGAAATTATGAAATTTAGTTATCTAGGAATATTAAAATATTTGTTATAATTCACTATTGTAATCCAATTATAGACGATTTAGATTAGCCCGGCTTTTGAGACATAAAATCAGGGCGTGGGAGTTCCCCACGTTGGGACTAAGACATGTCTATTCTAAATGAAACAGGGATTCAATCTACAGGGTTTCAATTATCATCATTTTACCCTCATATTTTTTCTACCATTTTTATCATCAATTGGGAAGGATTCCATAACCGGCGCTAATAGATCAGCAAATACAAATAAAAATGTAATATAATAGACCTCTAAATCAAAGCGTAGACAATTAGATTTGAATGTCCAATGTAACTCACAAAAAAAATTTTTTTAATTTTCTCCATCATGTGAAGAAATGGTTGTCCGCAAATATTCAATTATTTTCCGTAATTATTCAAATTATTCATTATTATTCCGTAGAATTTTTTTTAATTAGATGCAACACTTTTCTTTTACCTACTCATTGCACCCTGGGTGATAGCAATCGAAAAGTATTTACTTTCAATATGAGATGAATTATCACAAAATTTATATTATTTTTTCATCGGCAATTGTTTTGTGATTACGCAGGTAAAATATATGGGGACATGTGATTCATATTCGCTCTACCCCAGGTAGTTCATGTCAATACTAATTTTTTCAGAGAAATAATATATTCCAGAAGTCTCTTTGGAAACGTGAAGATTCTTCTTGCACAAATTCAGAATCCTATTATTATACAAAGTCTAGAAATTGCACGACATAAAAAAATTTTAAGTGTGTGAGGTACAATATTTCTTTAATATTGTGTTGATAACGATTTTTTCCGGAGAATACAAAACAATTTAAATTTTCACTGAGATGGTACACACGATAAACTCATAAAAAAAGTACGACATACCTGAGATGCTAATAATGTCCTCCAAATTACTGTAGACATCAACGTCAAGTTATGTTGTTCAGCCTGTATAATTTCAGCCTCCTTTCACTAGTGTCGAAGAATATTGGTTAAATTCACTTTATTTGTACACAAAATTTCACGAATTTGTCTGTTTATAAAGTACCAAGCATGGCCTGAAAAAATAATAATATAATTAGTATTGAAATATAAGTGAATAAAGGGTAAGAGCTATTATCAGTTTAAGGAACGTAATATACCTGCGCGTGCATGTGGCTGAACAAAAGCAGAGCGAAACGATCTGCTTGTCGATCGATGTAAACGGAATGGCAACAGCGGCAGCGCTGCCATCCACGCCATGCAGCAAGTTAACACCATACCGACTCTTCATACACGTTTTCTTTTTGTTCTGTTTGCTTTTCAATGTCATTTAAATGACGCCTCAATGAAATGTGTTCTCATGTGTGTGTGCAAACCGCCACCATAAAACCGCATTCCGCTGAACTACCGTTGGTTTGGTTTTTGCGATGAACGAACACAAACACACACACACACATGCAAAAAAACCATGTATTCGCCAAGCATTCATTGACAAATTCAAGCGAGAGTACCTAAAAAAATAGGAAAACATGAAATTAACTATGAGCCTACAATCAAATAAGAATGCTTACCTTCAGGAAAATGCGGTACAATGTCCGAGGGCGAAGGATCGACAGATTTTTTTTTTTTGCAGAAATGGGATTTCTGAATACTTGGATATGTGTCTTGCTATCACACTGAAATCACTATCACTTTAGGTAATTCTAACGAACGAAACGATGGCGAAACCAAACGCACATCACCGTTTCTTTTGCAGATGCCTAGAAACGGTGAAGTTTTGTTGCGTGGTGGGCACTATTTAATTTTTAATTGATGTTTTTTTAGCTAACATCCGCGACGTGCAAACCGCAGCAACCCGTGTTTAAAAAATGAAGCGGAAATGTTCTGTCCCAATGGTAATTAGAATTGCCACCACTGCCAGTGTTGTATTTGGATCGATTATTTGGTAGATAAATTAATCGAAAATACAACCTGCGATATTGTAAGGGCTCGTTAGGTCGGTATCATAAAGAAGGTAAATGTCAGGAAAAATTAAGGAAAAGCCGAAAAGCGGAAAAATGCCGCGTCATTCCCGTAGGTATAAAAGGGGGAAAAAGGAAAACGCGCCCTTATTATTCAAGTGGTGCGACAGTAAAATAGTGGTCATAAAAGTAAAAAAAATTAAAACCTGCCAAATTTCAAAATAAAAATTACTTTTTTTAAGGCAATAAAAGCCTCGATATTTATTTTATTATTTATGGTGAAGGCGTTAGTAATTGATTGTAAGTGATCCTTGTATGAATTATAATTGTGTAGATATATGAGTGTTTTTGTGTTGTGTGCTTTTATGTCTTTCAGTGTTTCGCCAAAATAATTTAAATTTCTCGAGGGTATCAACTGGCCTCCTCGGCGAACAAAAGCGGAGAGGTCAGCCCATCTTTGACGGCCACAGCAACCACCACAACGCAAAATTGAGGCCCCAGCAACCGCCTCCATAACACCAATTCCCTTGATCCATGATATCCGGGTTCTGCTTTATCCTGGTGGACGAGGTCGCGGAAGAGTGATCCTGGAAAAGAACAAAGCAGGTTGTACTAAAGAATGCAAAAAGCCAGGTAACAAAGTTATTTATTAAACTTACCGCTTGTTTGATACAACCACTGGCATAAAATAAAAACCAGAACCAGGAGGGAGACCCTGCAACAGAAAAAAGGAGAAATTCCATTAAATAAAATTTTAAGAAAAAGCAAAAGGCAGAAAAATTCATATAAATTAAGAGAAAGAACTAATATAATATTCAAATTTTTAATTAAGATAATATATTTAGGTTAAGTTGTGTTGTCTAAGTTTATTATTTGTGTTTTTTTTTGTGTCCAGCATAAATGTTCTTGTTTTTGTGAGGGACATTAACTATTCTAAATTTTATAAGTAAATTGGAGTGTAGGGTTACCCCAAATTACTTTGAGTGTTATAATCAAGATTTTTTTTTGAGGTTCCGTTGAATATTGTGGACCAGTTTGCGGGTCCCTCACCACCTAAGAGAGCTCGTTTAGGCAGGTACTAATTGCATAACTTAGAAAGTCCAAAATTTGGTGACATTTAGTTGACTGAAGTAATGAAGGGTGGTCTGATATATATGAACTCCTCAAACAATGACTAAGAGATCCTGATAGTTAATGTTTCAAATTTCAGCTTGTTTGTTCTATTTTAAGGAAATCTTATATATTGATAAATTGTTCGTAATATGATTGTTTGTGTAATCATGATTGTCTAGTTCATTCATGAGAGAGTGAATTTGGTGTACATTGTACTGAGGTGAGTGGGTGTGGAATACGGGGCCCTGATAAAATTGACAATTATGTAGGATCTCAGGGTCAAGGTTGGGCGGGCTAGCGTGGGAGTGGCAATATCAAACTCCTTTGTTCCAGGTGTACGTAGTGTTTGTGTTATGTAGAATTTGTATTTATCCATTAATTGTTTAATTGTTCGTCCCCAAGGCTATTGGTGTATGGGATGGAACCAACCCCTGAACATGGCTCCTGAGCTAGCGGCCACAACACCATAGTGCCGAAGCAGGTGGCACGTAACACATTTTTACTGGTTTTCCGTTCCCATATTTTCCGGGCAAAGTAGGCCTGTCAGAGCGAATGTTGCTTTTTTTCTAGTTTTATCATTTAAAAAAGTAGAGGAACACAAAAATAATTATATCGGGCGCTATGCACCATAGATCCATATATTTTTTACAAAAGCTATTATGGATTTATAACTTCATTTTTTATTATCATGGCAAAATTACGGAAGGTAGAACAAAAATTAAAGAAGCCAACTATTCGAAGTCTATTCGACACTATAAGAATCCAGTATAGAGTTGCATTTTTCTAGTTTCTTTGAAATTGAACAACCTTTCTTAGGCTGGAAATACATAATGAGCATATTTGGCTGGCTTAAGTCATCGGCTGGCTTCTTTGGAAATGAACAAAGGAGCCTAGGCCCAAAATCGAACTAAGTCAACTAAGCCTAACTCAATATCTCCTGAGAGTTAATACATGGTACAGTAAAAACAAGGTATGGCATAGGAATCACCATTTTTTCAAATTCTGTGGAATTCTAAATTCATATTACAGCTTTTGTGACCAACAAATGATTTCGTTTTTAGATGAAAAACGTTTTCGCTATTTTCTTTCATATCAAATAAAAGAAAAAAATAAAACAACTTGTTGCATTTTTTATTGGTATCACTTACGTGATATTTGATATAATTTGTCAATGAGTTTGTTCAACCTTGAAAATGTGTACGTTTGACGTATTTCGGTAACATTCATATAAATACATACATTCAACTTTGTGGTGTTGTAAATATATGATTGCACGAATTCTCCCTCTTAAATGTGGTAAATATTTTCTGTATTTTTAAGAGCGATCAAGGAGGAAATTTAATTGCCCATTTGAACATGATATAAGCTTCATAAGTAAATTAATCGATTGCAAGAAATCGACTTAAAAACCCCTTACACATATAGAAGAGAGAGAGAGAGAGTGTAAACAAAAATAATTTTGCACTGTCAATTGTTGTTGGGGGAAAAAATAATTAACAGTTAATAAACAAACAAATATTAAGCTGAATATTGGAATAATGAATGAAGGCAACAACATGGCAAAGGATCCAACCAGAGAGACACTCAAAAAGCTAATAGAGCATTCCAAGTAAGTTGCAGGCCCAGCTGGAAATAGATGGTCAAAAAAATTTAATTTTTTGCAAAAGATTGAATTTTGTGTGATCGTTTTTGGGTGGCACCGTGTAGAATCGATAGAGCGCGATAATTCCAATTGCTTTCAGTATTCAAAAATTCCTTAACTTTTTCTGATTACAGTGCAACATTTAGTGCGGACGATGTATTGAGAGAGTTTCGCATTACCAAGGAGAAACGCAACAATCGTAAATTGTTAAAAATTTTGGAAATTATATCAAAAAATCAACCTAAACAGGCGGATAATCTGATTGAGGCCGCAAAGCTATTGGAGAAGTAAGGTCCTTTCGTTTGGGAGTGGTGTATTTTGCTACAGAATTGTTTTTTTTTTTTGTTACAGAAAAGATCCCTTCTACTGTTTGTTGAACTTTTTGAATCACTACTCGGAGACCAACATTATGCAAACAATGCGTAAAAAGGATATGTCCAGCTCTACACCCATGTTGGCCAAGACTATGTTTGAGAATGGCACACCAGATCGGGTGTCTGAGGTGGGTTTGAAGTCAATGTGAAATGAAAAAGACATTTGAAGATCTCCCTTTGTTTTTGTAGATCAAAGAACGTGTGGTGCAGGCAGCCTGTGGTGGCCTAAGTCGTACGGCCCAAAACAATAATTCAATTATTAGTGCCGGCCTCTTGAGCACAACCCCCATACCATCGGCAATGCCCGCATTGGGAGGCTGTTCCTTATTTCCTTCTTCGACGAAAAACAATAGCCGCATAGATGCCCTGTGGGATTTCCATAATATCGAAAATATACAATTTCAACAGAGCAATATTGCTGCCATACCCTTAAGTAGCCAAGAGAATCTGCTGCTGTATGATTTGATTTATTGTCTAACTGGAATGCGTGGTTCCTATATAACACCGGAATTGGACGCTGTGCGTGATGGCAATTTGCAAGCATTTTCGATGAAATTTAAAATTTCCGAACAAATTCACAGTTCGTTACGTGATATTGCCCAAGAAATCTTACCGCTGGCATCACACTACGCCTGCATACAACAGTTCATACAGAAAGCAACATTTTCCAATTGCAGTCAGGTGTTGCAGGCCTTAAGTGAGGCATTAAATAATCTAATACATGATTACTATGTGAGTATACGCTCCCCAAAAAGCATTCATAAACAAGTGTCCAAATGCTGTGGGTATGAATCTGTTTATACCCTCAGCCATGTGGCTGCAAAAGGTACATATCATTTGATAGGGCCAAAATGTGCCTCATCGACATAACGGTTTTAGATCCTAAGTCTCTTTGCCTAAAATCCGTTTCAGGAATTTTAGAGTCGATCTAGGGGTGTTCGCCCGTCTGTCTGTCTAGTAGGTGCTCACGATATTTCTCGAAGGGAGTATGCGTTTTGATCTAAACTTGGTACATCGTAATACTATTGTCAAATTTAGATCGAGTTTAGAGATGGCCAATATCGGTCCACTCCTTGTGTTACCTCCCCTACAAAAGGTCAAAATGTTGACAGGAAATAATTTAAAGAATAGAACAATGATCCTTTCATCGAATTGTGTGCAAACTTAACATATCCCAATATTTGCACCAGTGTTATGTCAGGTGAGAAAATGGACAATATAGGTCCAATACATCATGTACCTCACCAACAAAGGGTCAAAATTTTGGATAAATATAACTCGCATAAAATGCGAAATAAGCATCCGATCCGTGAAATTTGGCAAACCTCAATATTTTTGCTAACACAAGATATGGTGCAAAGATGGTAGATATCGATACACTCCTTCTCCTACCTCCCCCCAATAGGAGTCAAAATTTTGGATTAAGCTTCTAAAACGCGAAATGAGCATCCGATTTGTTCGAATCGGTCACCTTTGGCAGGAATAATGGCCTTCAAACGGCCAGTGAAACCGTCACACGCTGCCCGCGATTTTTTTTCGCCCATTCCCGGCGAAGCGATTGCTTGAGGTGATCGACACTTTGCTATTTTTTATTGGCAACCTTGCTTTCCAAAATACTCCAGACACAATAGTCCGGATTGGTTTGCGGAGATTTTGGTGGTCATTGTGCGCTGGAAATGAAGAAAGGAACCTCATTTTGTAACTATTCTTGGGTGGCGCGTGCTGAGTGCGACGGTGCTGAGTCCTGTTGGAATGTCCAAGGTCTGCGGACAAAATGTTTAGGTGCCCAATACACCCTCCAGAATATTTTTGGCGATAATATTCGGCATTTATTCGGATGCCACGGTCGATTAATACGAGCGGAAAGCGACCATCGGCTGTTATGGCGGCCCACACCATCACCATGGCCGGCGCTTGAGTTCTGGTGGCCAACTGAAGATGCACATTTTCAGCTGACCTCATTGGACAACGAATGTTTTCCCATCGGAGAAACCCAAATTCGGTAGTTCACCACCACTACAGTTCGGCCAAGCGAAGCAACTCTTTAGCTCTTTTGAGTCTATTTTCTTTCTGCTGCGGTGTATGTTAGATGTTCTTGCACTTTTTGGAATTCCAATGGCTTTACCCCGAGCTCATTTTTCAATATTTTCCGAATGAAATATGGCGATATGTTCAGCTCACGAGACATTTTTCGGCCACTGTGACGCGGGTTTTGATCAAGTCGCTTCTTTACTTTTCGAACCATATCTGCTGATGTCGCTGTTTTCTTCCGTCTACTTCCTTGACGTCGGGCTACGCTAGCTGTATCACGGTAACTAGCAATGGTACGAGACACAAAAGATTTATTCACATTTAAATGCTGGAGAGCTCTAACGATATCCACTTGTGGTTTTCCTGCCAAATATAAAGAAATCACTCTATCACGCTTGAATTCCATCACGAATAGATTTTTTTTTTGAAAATTCTCACCAAATTGCTTTTGTACGCTTATAAACAATATAATGAGCTGTCACTGGAATAATTTTAACAGCTGCCGGATGAGTGGCATAGAAATGACAGCAGTCTGAAGTTGATTGCAGTTTTTTCATCTCACCCTGTATATCTCATCTCACATCCCAACATTTTTGATAACACAAGATGTGTTGTGAAAATTGGATATATCGCTTCACACCTTCCGGTACCTTTTCCACAACGAGTCAAAATTTAGAACATTAATATCTCTTGTAAAATGTGAAATAAGCATAAGATTCTCTTCAAATTGCACACATCCCAACATTTTTATTTACACATGATCTGGTTTGAAAATGGCGGAAATTGATCCACTTCTTCTGGTACCTCCATCACAAAGGGGGCAAAATTTTGAATAACAAAAACGCTCATAAAATGCGAAATTAACTTCCGATTCTCTTCAAATGTCACACATCTCAATATTTTTATTAACACAAAATCTGGCGTGAAGATGTTAGGTATCGACCTACCCCTTCTGGTACCTCCACATTTTTGATTAACAATCATTTTCATAAAAGTTGTAATATATATCTGATTTTCTATAAATGTTGCATTTCCCAATATTTTTATCGGCATTAGATGAAGTGGAACACTTCGGCCCACTTTATCTGATACTAAACTAGCGAACTTGTGAATGCTGTGTCTAGGCCTGAAAACGTTGATGAACAAGGTTAAGTTGATAGAGAGGACCTGTTTTTCATATCATTACATTCCATTCCAGCTCCTCTTGGCACAATTGGAATCCGAGTTAAATGCTGGCAATTTAACATTACACAAAATGTTGTTCTATGTGAGACCAACCCTCAATACCATGGAAGTCTTGGCAGGGGCTGTGACTCTCATTGTGGCCGTGAGTATTATTCCAAACTGAAATTTTCTTTTATAGCCCAAATCCCTCTAATATTGTATTTTTAACAGAACGAACTACGTGGTGGTCAAGCCCTTACCTTGTTATTCAATAAAATAAGTGCTCTCACAGGCGATGAGGAGTCACAGAAATTCCTAATTCAACTCACGCAGCGAGCTGCAATGCCATACATGAACATATTGCAATTGTGGATACAAAAGGGTGTCATCAACGATCCACAACAAGAGTTTTTGGTGGAAGACAATGAAGTGATACGTCGTGAAGAATTGCCCGAACATTATTCGGCAGATTACTGGGAAAAGCGGTAATTACTTTCACCCACCCCTCACCCCCAAACATTTTCAATTTACAATAATCAAATACCTATATCTGTTTCCAGTTACACCATACGACGTGAACGTATACCATGTTTTCTGGACAAGGTTTCTGACATTATTTTACGCACCGGCAAATACCTGAATGTTATTCGCCAGTGTGGAAAGAAAGTCACACCACCGCAAACAATGAATCTACAATTCTCACCAACCAATCAGAATCACATCACTGTCATCCAGAATGCATATCGTTTTGCATCGAAAAATCTTTTGGAAGTATTACTCAAAGAAAACGATTTGATGGGTCATTTGATGTCGGTTAAACGTTATTTGCTATTGCATCAGGGCGATTTTATAACCCAGTTTATGGATGCCTGTGAAGATGAATTAGCCAAAAACGTTGACAAAGTCCTGCCGATGACATTGGAAAATCTTTTGGGTTTAACTTTACGTCTATCATCGGCCAAACATGATCCATACAAAGACGATGTCCATTGTGAATTGTTGACATACGATTTGGTAACACAAATGTCTAAGATTATGAACAACGAGGAAGGTAAGTGTGGAAGTGGAGTGTTGGGAAAATATGAAAGGGAGGGGATACCAGTTAACATGTAGGTGCAAATATAACTACTGGTTTTATAACAAAAAGTAATCTGAACGCATTCCTTAGATTTTTTAGAAAAGGCAATTAAATATTTTCCAAAGGTTATAGGTTAAAGGTTACGGATAGTGAAACGGCCAATAGATACCGGACGCGTCCACAGATTGCGGATAGTGAAACGGCCAATAGATGTATTGGGCAGCTGCGAAGTTAGATAAGCAGTCGTGTGCCCATCAGTGTTGCTCGGTTTGCAGTGAGGGTATCGACTGTATTGGAACGGTTGCCTCACTGATACCTGGGCGCCTCAGTGTGTAGCAGGCTTAGATGCCAAGTCCCTAGCATGGTAGGGAGGCTATGCCATGGTGGACCTCGTCTCCTCCAAAGTCCGAGATTCATGTGGACAAGAAAAGTTTAAATAAAACATACCTAAAAACACCAACAACTCCAATGGCCAAATTGCTTCGGAAGAAGCAACGACCCAGGACCGTTCAAAGGACACGAGTATAAATTCAGGAGGGGACGATACGATCCTGACTTACAGTGACGTTATCCGTGACCGTATTTACCAGCAGAGTGAACAATTGTCCGACCCGCCGGCGATGGTGTGGGTCGTCATAACAGCCGATGGTCGCTCTACGCTCGTAATAATCGACCGTGGCATAAGAATAAATGCCGAACATTATCTTGAAAATATTCTGGAGAGTTTATTAAAGCCTTGGGCATTCCAACAGAACTCAGCACCATCGGACTCAGCATGCGCCATCCAAGAATGGTTACAAAATGAGGTTCCTCGCTTTATTTCTAGCACACAATGGCCACCAAAAACTCCGTATACCAATCCGTTGGACTATTGTGTCCGGAGTTTTTTGAAAAGCAACGTTGGCACTAAAAAATACCAAAGTGTCGATCACCTCAAGCAAGCGCATCGCCGGGAATGGGCCAAATTACGGCAGAGCAACATTCGGGCAGCGTGCGATGGTTTCATTGGCCGTTTGAAGGCCATAATTCGTGCCAAAGGTGATCAATTCGAACAAATCTAAACTTATTATAAAATTTGATACTATTTCCGACATTTTTTGATTTTATTAAAAAAAATTAGAAACAAAATGTGAAAATTATGGCATTTTTAAATTTATTTAAACTATTTAAGTAATTGAACATTGGCTCAGGGTATACATCTGTCGGCTAAACCGACTGATACTTTTTAACTTGTTAATATTCAATTTGAAAACCTCTCGAAACTAGCCAGAACAAATTGATCCACTTCCATCCCTTTTCAGAATATTGGCAAACCCATGACCGCCTCGACTTGAATGGCCTGGAGTGTTTTGCATTTCGTTATGAAGTCAAGTGGCCTGTCTCTTTGGTATTGAATCACATTGCGATTTCCAAATATCAAATGTTATTCCGGCAACTGTTCTACTGCAAACATGTGGAGAGGCAATTGTGCAAGTAAGTATCTAACGCTTATAACTATTATTATTCGCACATACTCGATTGTATTGTAACAACCCTTCTTCTCTCTTTTCGCTTTTGCGACAACACTTAGAATTTGGAAAGAAAATTCTATTGCTAAAAAGTTTTCACCGCAGGCGGCCGAACTTTATCGTTCAGCATTCACGTTGCGTCAACGGATGATGAATGCTGTGCAGAATCTTGAATATTATATGATGATTGAAGTTATTGAACCAAATTGGCATATATTTATACAGAACATGAGTAAGGTAGGTAAATAAATTCCCTTTTTTAGCTGTGTAAAATGTATAATGTTTTGTAATTTGTTCTAGGTGGAAAATGTCGATGAGGTATTGTCGTTTCATCAGGATTTCCTAGATTCCTGTTTGAAAAATTGCATGCTCACCGATGCCACATCATTAAATCGTTCCATTTTTAAAATGTGCAACATTTGCTTGAAATTCTGTGAATTTATACAGGTAAGTGGACAATAAATAATATTTAATAATTTATATATTTTTTTAAATTTAAATTTGACTCGCACCTTTTGTTTTTTGTAACATATTTTGCACATTTAATGCAAAGATGTGGATTTTTGTTGCGTTCATTTTGTCTTTCAAAACTTTAATACTCACAACTCAAACTTAATTAAAAATATCCCTTTTTCTTTAACTTCGTTCTTTGCAATTGTTATAAATAATTAAAAAACAACAATAAATTATTGTAATTTTAATTCATCTCCCCAAACCACGTTTGCGATTGTCCAAAACCACAAAAAGAAATCGCAACGTTTCTTCCTTGATGCCGAACTTACTTCGATGATGTGCGACAGTAACGATGAGGAAAATTCTGAATCTGACTATGAATTTGCTAGTCACAAACAGGTATTTGTTGTAAACAAAAACATTAGATTATTCATAACAACAACAACAGAATAATAATATTGACACTATTTTTGGTTTGTTTTTAATTTGCACAATTATAAATCTTTTCTCTTCATTTGTAAACGATTACTAATTTTTTACACACGTATTTGCATGTAAATAATGCGTGCTTAATTTATTTAAACAAATTCTTTGTAGAAATTCCAATTATATTTAATTGCCCATCAGAATATTGATCGTTTTGCTCAATGGTGTGGAGGTGAATCCGTTTATCCATGGCCATCCGCTCGAAACTTTTTGGGTCTAAACTCACAAGGTTTCAGAACAACTCTACCAATTTGAACCAGTAAGGAAAAGTCAAAAGTCGGCCGGGCCGACTATATAATACCCTACACCACTATCCATATTTAGTAGAGCTCCCGTAACAAAAGAATGTATTTGAAGTAGATCATACCACCTATCAACATTTGGCTTTAGAGCAGTTATAGTTTGGTTTTAGTGGTAACTAATATATGGGAGGCATATCCAATTCTGAATCGATTTTCACTAAATTTGACGGAGACATTTTAATTTTTTATACACATTGGTATAGAGTGCATGATATCACTTCGAGAAGAATTATATTGCATAAGTATATATCGGAGCCGAGTTTCACAAAATGGAAATGTACGTCACGAAATTCTCTCCATTTGGGCTGATATTAGCCATTATTTGCACAATAAACAAGAAATAAGATAAGGATATATATGAGAGTTATATCCAAATCTCTCCCAAAATTATTAGATTTGGCGGCAGCTTTGATCACTTTGATTATAGTATATATGCGGAATTTCGTTTCGTTGAGGGAACAAAAGAAGGAAACGGAGTTTCGAAAGGTACAGGTTAAATCCCTGAATCATCCCTAAATTTCGGAAATCATCTTGATTATCAGCGTTGTCTCAAAAATCTTTACCACCAACTACAAAAACGAAATCGACCTGTATGACCCTCATTTCCTTGCATCCTTATCTGGCCTTATTTGCTGGACTATTCTGTTTATTTTCCAGGCTCCGCAAATTACAGGAGGAGATAAAAAACAAACTGCAACAAAGTCAAAAGCCGTAATTTTTAAATTTTTTTTTTAATTTTATTGAATGAAAGCAAAAAATGCCGGAAATAGCATCAAATTTTAGAATAATTTTAGATTTGTTCGAATTGGTCACATTCGGCACGAATTTTAGCCTTCAAACGGCCAATTAAACCGTCTGCGGTATTTTGGCCCATTCCTGGCGAAGTGTTTGCTTGAGGTGATCGACACATTGGTATTTTTTAGTGCCAACCTTGTTTTCGAAAATACTCCAGAAACAATTGTCCAACGGATTGGTATACGGAGATTTTGGTGGCCATTTGCGCTGGAAATGAAGCGAGAAACCTCATTTTGTAACTATTCTTGGGTGGCGCGTTCTGATTGCGATCTGATGGCACGGTCGATTAATACGAGCGGAGAGCGACCATCGGCTGTTATGGCGGCCCACACTATCACCATGACCGGCGCATGAGTTCTGGTGGCCAAACGAAGGTGTACATTTTCAGCTGACCTCTTTTGGCAGTAAACACGATCATTTTGTTTGTTTACTGCTGGACAACGAATGGACAAGGAATGTTTTCTCATCGGAGAAAACCAAATTTGGCAGTTCACCACTTTCGGCCAAGCGAAGCAACTCTTTAGCTCTTTTGAGTCTATTTTCTTTCTGTTGCGGTGTAAGTTCTTACACTTTTTGTAATTTCAATGGCTTTACCTCGGTCTCATTTTTCAATATTTGCCGAATGGAATATTGCGATATGTTCAGCTCACGAGCCATTATTCGGCCACTGCGACGCGGGTTTCGATCAAGTCGCTTCTTTACATTTCGACCTATTTCTGCTGACTTTGCTGTTTTCTTTCGTCCACTTCCTTAACATCGGGCTACGCTACCAGGATCACGGTAACGAGCGATGGTACGGGACACAAAACATTTATTCACATTTAAATGCTGGGGTGCTCTAACGATAGCCATTTGTGGTTTTCCTGCCAAATATAAAATAAAACACACTATCACGCTTGAATTCCATTACGAATAACTTTTTTTCTGGAAAATTCTCACCAAAATGCTTCTGTACGCTTGTAAGCAATATAATGAGCTGTCGCTGGAATAATTTTAACAGCTGTCGGACGAGTGGCTTAGAAATGACAGCAGTCTGAAGTTTGTTGCAGTTTTTTCATCTCACCCTGTATATTCGCAGACCACACTGAGACCACAGACCAACCTTTTGCTTTATAAGAGGTCTCCTTGTCTGAACTCCAAATTCTGCGGACCGTGTTTCTACTTTTTATTTTGTCGCAGATAGCTGTGGAAAGGTACAGTTTAAACAGCTCCGGATATATCACACCACCTTGGGGAAATTCCTGTTTTACTCCACCACCTAGGACTTCTTGTTCCTGAATTCCATGTACAACTGGCGTCCACACATATGGTTGATTATTCAACGTTTCAAACTTGGCCGGAGTATATCTGTCTCTACATCCTCAAACAGCGTGGTGTGGTTGGCTGTATCAAGAAACCGTCAATTTATGTAGGATATACAAGGATAATATTTTGTACTATTTTAAGGAGAAAAAATTAGTCATTTCTCAAGGTCGAAAACCTTGCTACCTAACACCCATTCAGAATATGCTTACTTATACCACAAAAGGAATAATAACCCAAAAGTTTATATTTCAATATCACATTTTAATTTCAATTAAATGATTAAAATTTTCTTTGAAACTAACAAACCCAAAAAACAATAAAAAAAAAACAAAATTTCACCTCAAATACTCTAGGAAACATCTGCAGACAGGTACATATCTATTTCATTTTCGTTATTTTAATGCCATAAGACATCTTCTAATACCAAAAAAACTTGTCGATAATTTCATATATTTAATAATAATTTTCTTTTCTGTTTTGTTTTACAGTCTGAGTCGTCCATGGCTCCAACCGATACATTTTCTGAACGTGTCAAACGTTTCGATTTGGAATTCACTGGTCTTCTCATTGGTCTGTTGAAGCAAATTAATGATGTGGCCTCAGATAATCCATCGGATCGTTTCATCAATTTGGTGCATCGAATTAATTTCAATTCATTCTATAACGAACAAATGGATAAGTTGTGTGCCAAGGATTCGATGATGGGACATCATAATCATCAATAAAAATGAAGCACCTACCCACCCACATCCACACACACACATACACACACCCAGCCAATTACATGTATTAATAACAGGACAACAACGCAACAACTAATGATGATGATGATGATAATGTTGTATCGAATGCCATCAATATATTGATGATAACTAATAATACAAAATAATACTCAGACACAAACATACAGACAGATAGACAGACACAAATACAAACATACTTGCCTTGTCATTCATTCATTCATTCATTCATACAAATTGATGATGATGATTGCATAGATATTATAATGGAGTATCAACTACACTATATTCATACATACACTACATGTAGCTATCTATATACACAAGTGTACAGCTATAGCTAGCTAGCCATACATTCAGATATTTGTTTGTTCGTTTGTTTGATGTTTTCATTTTTTTTCTTTGTGCACAAAAATAAAATAAATAATTGTTAAAACTTGAATTTGTAATTTGGGAATATTTTGAATCCAATCCAAAAAAAATTAAGAGCGGCGAACAAAAAATAATAATTACCCATTTTGAAATGTAAATGAAATGTTGACACACATCCGCATGTACATACATGTACATATTTTGCTGATATTTGTATAACTAATTAGATGCGGAATTTGTTCGATGGCTTTAAAGTTAAGTTTCAATTGGAAATGTTGGGGCAACATTTTAAGAAGAATGGTTTAAAATCATTGTTACAAGGTCGAAATTGAGAACATTAATGTGACTTCATGAAGCCAGTACATCCCGGAATGCCTGCTCCAGATTCTTTTAGTTCGTACTGGGGTTGAAGAAAACACTGGACCATGGTTCTGTTCTATATGTCAAAACATAATCCAACACAATTCTGTCTCGGTGCGATGAAATGCATGCAGAGATTTTGTGCATAATAGAGAATGTTCTGGACCAACCTAGTGTAGTTCTCAACGGGTCCATGTCTTCGTTGTCTTCACCAGTGTTATCGTCTGTATCATCGTCGGAGTATGGAACTCTACCGCAGTCTCCTGAACAGCAATATCCACCGCAGCATCTCACGCCATATATTGCCGTCCCAATTCCGGATTGCGCATCGTCTTTTCAATTTAATTGCGATGGATTCCGGGTTTCCGGATTTCAATTTAATTGCGATAAATTAATGGAATTTATGAATGGGGAGAATATTTTGATTGTAGAGGTGTCAGAAACCAAACTCCATGAAAATCACTGTCTACAAGGTTGTTAAGGTTACAACTTTTTGAAGAAAGATCGCACCTAAAGTGAACTTGGGGGATTTGTGCTCCTGTTTATACGAGGCTTTTCATTACAGACCTATCTCGCTTGAGCTAGCTTCTAGTAACACGCACATGGAAAATATGGGGGTATCGGTCAAGTGTAGAACTGCTGTATTGATAGCTGTGAACCAAGTTATGTGCCAGGCATTAGTCCGCTTTTGGTAGGGAATAACCACCTGGCACAAGGGGAGGTCAATGCCCACCAGGGATTGTGGTATTGGTCCTAGGTATTGGCCAGAAGGGATCAGCGTTGGCAGAAAAAATGGATTGTCTCCCATTCTGCCTTGTAAATGAGAATGTGATCTAACTTTCCTTAACCATGGGAAAATCAGAATTCAGACAGCTTGGTACCTTCGCTTTGAAGAACTGCAGAAAGGGGCTTTCGGTGACATCAACTAAGCTGCAGCCGCTCGCAATATTCCTCCTGGTCAAATCTCTAAAATAGCATCAAATTTCCCAGCAGAGACAGTGGACTAGCGGTCCCACCCTTTTGATCCCAGAGTCAGAGAACTGACATTGGAGATTAAAATATTGATGTAGGTAGAAGTAGAAAGGCCATTTGATAAGAATAAATTGTAGGTAACGATTAAATCGATCACAAACTCTTGGGAACGGATCCGAAGAGGTGCGCTGCCTACTTAACGTGCCCTTAGGGGTACGAAGAGAAGAGTACCAACTCATATCAGATCTCTTCCTGCCACGGAAACACCAGCGGAATTCTAACCGTACTCATCTTGAATTCAGCGAAAAAAGATTGAAGGTTAAAAAGTTGGTACAGGAGAACAGGAGGAAAAAATGGTTAGACCATCTGAAGTGTTGCAACATTGGAACCGATATGACTAAGCTGTGGGTAACGATTAAATCGTTCTCGAACTCTGCGAAAAATAATGATAGGATCTCAGTCATTTTTAACGACGCAATGGTGACTGATTGGAAATGGTGTGCTGGATTTTTAAGGCGATAATTTGTCAAGTACCCCTAAAGCTATAGGGCTTAATGAAGAGTACTACATCGTATCAGATCTTAACCCGCCGAGGAAGTAGCGCCACAATTTACGACGAGTGATTTCATCCCTTCCTGCTGGTCGAATAGCAGAAATAAGACCGAGATGTGCTTCGCTATTAACTCCGGAGTTAAACATGCTAGTTGTCAAGCGGAAAAAATGGGTAGAACATCTGAAGCATTGCAACATCGATACCGGATCTACAAAATTGTGGGCAACGGTTATGTCGCTCCCCAAGTCATCTAAAGTCGCTCTCAAAGTCATCTAAAGCGCTTGGACCCGATGAAATCTCTATGGTTTTGTTGAAGCAACTGGATGAGGCAGAAGTTCAGTATAATACCAAACTCCTCGAGTTGTCATTATCCAATAATATCTCGATATCCTGAAAATGGTCGGTGTGGTCCCGAAATTTTTGGAACTGTTTAACGTCTACCTTTATGGCATTCCACATCCCTTCAGACGGCATAGAAATAATAACGTGCGCGTATGAGCGTACCTTCGCTCATAGCGTTCGGATCCATCATTGATGACATCTGTCATTGATCTAAACACCTTTTTTATTGCAAAGAATTTGAAAATATATGCCAAGAAATCGACGGCACAACTTTTCATCACATGAACAGCGGAGTGGAGGCTGTCACTGGACGTGCAGGTCTATGGTGTTTTAATTCCGACCAATTACTCCAAGGTCACATTTGATGGCCTCTTCAAATTGTCCGCGCAGATCACGGCTATATGCGATAATATTAGAAGTAGGGACGATGTTCTCAAGGATCTTGCCGGCAGTACTTGGTTATCTGATAAAGAACCTTGTTGACCTCTTACAATGCAATAGGCCGGCATGTGGTAAACTATGAGACTCCGGTGTGGCCCGGCAAAGTTAGTGCTACTCAGTAGAAAAATATGTGGCCAGTAAACCTACTTACATAACTCCGGTATCGTTATGAAAATAAACTTAACTGAGAGTCGAGTACCTTAAAAAGACCAGAAGCTGCCACATAATTCCTGAACCCAAAAAAACATGTCGTGTGGTTCCGCCACTGAAGCCAGGCAAGGATGCCAGCAAAGGCGAGTTATGCAGGCCGTTTTCCTTTGTAGCCAGTAATAAAGACTAGTGAGTTTTTACTCCTCCCCAATATTATATGTTGCATAGACGGTCATGTGTGGTAGATGTATGTCTGCTGATGACCTAATTAGTTAGAGAGAGAGTGTTAACCAGTGTAACACCGTTAAGTTGGATGGGCTGAACGTGTAATATGCTCCACAGGAGGTGGATGAAAACATTTTAAACAATTCCGTTAAAAATTGGGCTAAAATCGCAATAATAACGATCGTGAGCCACCGTTATATGGGGTCTATATGAAAATGGGAAATATAGCATGATTAAATATACCGACAGAAGGACATCGTTAGATTCGAATTTTACTCTGATGAAGAATACATATACTTTGTGGGGTCTTACGTAATTATTTCGGGGAATTACAAACGGAATAACAAACATAATACGTTCTCCATAGTGTGGTGACAATAGAAAACACATCAATATTTTTCTTAGAGCGGAGGTCATTTTGATCTACCAAGAGTGGCTTAGATAATTTCTTTTTATTTAACACTGAACATTTAGATATATACATTTAATTCACCATCGACTCCACCTGAACACCGTCGGTAACAACTTCTTTGTGAGCCTTACGACTTTGTAATTTCGCACACTTTAGCTACCCGTTGTTGGACAACAATTGCATAAAAAAATAATCCCTGAGATTTGTACTTTTATTTGCGGGAAAAACTTTGACTAAAAAAAAGACGTTTGGTGTGGTTTGGAATTATAACTTGCTTTCTTTATTTTTCACTGGCTTATATACTAAAATTCTGTTTATTGCTGCATTTTCGTTGTCGGAAATGCAGCAGAAAAGAAAATACAGTTTTAGGCTAATATTAATATTTAAGTAAACAATTCTTTGGAAATTTGTCTGGAATAAAATGTTGAATTGCATATCAATATTTTAATAAACAATTCTTACAAATAAAGTATTAATGAATATTTATTCTTTGGAAATTTATTTTATAAAAATGCTGGATTTGCATATTAATATTTTGGTAAACAATTCTTTGGAATAATAAAATGTGGAACGATTCTCATTAAGGGAATAACGGGAGACACTATCGTTGAGGGGAATTAGTAGTTGATACTATAACACCCCCACCCTTAGTTTGAGGCTCCGACGAAATTATATTATCTTTGCCGGATTGTTTATAATAGTTTGGTTTTTTAATTGTACATTTGGAACATAGGTTTGTTTATTCTTAAAGAGATATATAAATATAATTAAGATACATATTGATGTACCGATTAAAATATCTATACTATAGCCAATTATTTTTGAGTTTTTATCTGTATATAGTACTTGTTTCAGTGTTTCCTCGTATTCTATTTGTTTTAGATATAAATTTTCAAGTTTTATGTCTGCAAGTGTTGTGTTACTGGTATCTTTAATTTTTGTTATAAGGTTAGGTAGGATAAACTTGTCTTGTATTTTTATTTTAAAATTCGTAAAGGTTTTGTTTAACGTGTTTACTTCACAATTTTCGAATTTGATTAAGTAATTTCCTGAAATTTTTAATTTATCTTTGTTACAATTATGTGATATCGTACTGTTAAAGTGTTTAAGGATTAATACTCCTGGAATTATTTCGCTAATTTCTTGGGTATTTAATGTTTGCGTTTTGCAATTAGCTTCTTCAAAGTTTAGTATATTGTTCAAACAATTATCATTAATTTTTATAAGATTTCTTTTTAGGTTATCTTTAATATACGTGCTATAAATATTTTTTTCTAAATCTATAAGAACATCAGAATGATTAACCATTATGGATTTATTATTTTCGTCAGGAATGGGTACGAATGTTACCTTGGATAGTGAATCTTGGGAATATTGTGGTATAGAGAGAATTATTATAACGTTCCCTTCATTACGTGCTATGGCTACTTTTATATTGGTATAGCTGTCAAAGCTTGTGATTAAATCGAGTTCTGTTTGGGTGAGAATATCTGTGGGAATTATTCCCAGTTTCCCGGAGAAAATAATCTGTCCTATGTCGTCTACGTGATGCCGTAGGAGTGAGATGTCGTTGTTAATCTGGTATATGTGTTCTATAAATGTTATCTCGTCCTCT